TCGGCGCCCGGGAGCCCGAGGGCGTGACCGCCGGTCGACCGTGGCGGCCGCCTTCGGAGACGAAGAGCGGAGATGGAGCTGGTTGGGAGGGATGGCGGTGGTAAGTTGCAGTGGGTTCCATGAGGTTCTGACAGTATACTGTAATTATATAGTTATATAATAGGTTTTGATGTAGTTCACACATGAGGTGTGATCCAGATTGGAAGGGTGAAATGAACGTGAACAAAAGTATTTGTTTGTGGGTGTCACTGTGAGTGCCTACCTTCTGCACCAATGCCATGAGCGGAGGGACAAAGTAGGACACTTCCAAACAATGGGTCCATCTTCCTACCAGCGAGGTTAGCTGGTTCCCTCATTTGGGCCAAGTGGTGGTTTGGGTTCACACACATATATATATATAATATATATATAGATATAGATATGGGCTCTCAGATATTTCAACCCCCCATAAGGCCCGGCCTGAAGAGGTTCTTACAATCCATTAATCCATTAATCCATGCGTTTAATCAACCAAGAGGGGCCCAACCAAAACGCTCCCATTCGTTGTCTCCCGACCGGTCACTTGGGAGCTGGGTCCGGTCATTCCCAACACGTATCCCGGTCGGCTGTTCGGTGGTCCGGACCAGGGTTTGACGGGTTCACGGTTCGGTCGATCCGCACGTAACGTGTGGTGGTGGCTTATATGGACCCCCATCATCCCCCATCGACATGGGCCGGGCTGCCTTTGACCATTGAGCCTCTGAAACCACTGTACGACTGACCTTGCGTCTGCGTCCGATGCCCGTGCCCAATTCGATGCCGCACTTCCGGGACACGGGTCCGGGTCTGCGCGCTGGTCGAGCCGGGTCTGCGCCGTGCCCGCCGGATGTCGGGGACGTCTCCTGGAGGGATTCGCGGAAGGTTTCTGAGTTCGGTGCATAGGAGCAAGGCCACTGGGTAAGCGGCTTGAGCCAAGTGCCCTAGTTTGGTCAGGTGTCCCTACCCTTCCTTTTGACAGCGGCTGCAGGGAGCCCCAGTTTTGGCTGTGGAGGGGTGACAGGTTGGAGCACCACTGAAAGAGGTGCGGTGCGACAGACTGGCGACACGCCTCAGCCCTTTGGGCCTTTGGGATCCCTTATTGGTTGCTTATTCGCAGACCATCACCCGCCCCCTGAATCTCAACGTTCGCCGCCAAAGGGTTTCTTTCCGCGTTTGGGAACGCCACGTGGAAACGAAGACCACCGGCAGTTCTAAGGCCACCTGTTTGGAACACCCACGTGCATGAGCAGTGAATTCATTGGGCCAGGGAGGATCTGGGGTGCACTCGAGGAGCATTTCGGCCAATGTGCGGCGGATTCCGTGGATGAGGACGGGGGAAATGGTTTTGCTGGTCTGGTGCTTTGGGGCATGCGGCATCAGCAGCACCCTGGCTGGTCTGGTTGGTGGGTCGCTTGTGCACCGCGGAATTGTCTCGCTTATGCACCGCAAGCTTCCATTAGATCCCTACCCACCCCCACCCCCCCCACCCCACCCCACCCGGATGTAAGATGTGATGATGTGGCCGCAAGCCAATCATTCCATTAGATCCCGCATCCCACCCCACGCGGACGTAAGATGTGATGATGTGGCCGCAAGCCAATCATTCCATTAGATCCCGCATCCCACCCCACGCGGACGTAAGATGTGATGATGTGGCCATGGGCCAATCATTCCATTAGATCCCCCCACCCCCCCACCCGGATATAAGTTGTGATGATGTGATCAGGAGATTCGTGGTGCGTAAGTGAGCATGGCTGTGGACGCGGACCTCGGGTGGTTGAGTCTTTTTCAGTGTAGAGCTCCGTGGTGCGTAAGTGATCCAATTTTGTGGTGCGTAAGTGAGCGAAAATGCTGTGGTGCGCAAGTGAGACAAATCTGTGGTGCGTAAGTGATCCACCGCCTGGAGCCTTCATTTGGGACCACCCTTACCCATCTTACCCGCTTCAAAAACACGTCTTCCGAAAGCGTGCGACCTGCTTTCTGCTTCTGCTTCCTTCTGCCTGTGATCAGGGGCGGTCCTCGCGGGTTCCAGGAGCTGGTCGTGTTGGAGGACGATGTGCTGGAGCTGGGAGCCCGAGGATGGATCGGAAGCCTTAGAGAACGGGCGGAGCTGGGCATTGGAAGCATCGGAACAGGCGGCGTGGGCTCTAGCAGGACATAGGTGTCATCCTGGTGTCGACGAGACTAACATGGACCCTGAGTACGCCACTGGGTTGGTAGAGGAAAACACGGCCAGACAGTCAGGGTCTATGTGAGTTGACTCGGGAGTGTACCGCGGTGCACCGCGGACGGTTTTTCATCGGTGATCATGGGTGCGAATGGGCCCTTTGGCGAGACAGGGAGGGAGCAAGTGAGAAGGGCTGCAGGAGAGTTTGGGAACTTGAGCAGTGAGTTGTTGTCCTTTGTTCATTCTTTTGAAGGGGGATGGAGGTAGGAGTTGTCCGTGAACCAAATGATACATCCCAAGAGTTCTATCATTCATCGTTCGCGAGGATTCCATGCTTCATCCGCCTGAGGGTTCCAGAGTTCAACGTGGTCCGTGGTCCCATCACCGCAGCACGCGGCGCGCGGAACGCGGCCAGCGCCGCTGTGGACCGAAGGTTCTCGCTGCTGCAGACGTCCTTGAGCGTCTCGTGGGAGCGCTGAATGGGGTGCGATGTGGGTCGGGGTTTTGGGATGGTATGACACCCAACGCACCTGTGGATGTATCGATGGTTGTGTGGTAGTGCCTGGAATTCTTCCTGGTTGAGGTGGTGCCCTGCAGGAATTGTATCCAAGAACTCTCCCTCTTAAGGGATGTCAACGATGGATTCGCTCGGGGTGTCGGTGCCTTTGGCCGGTCCACAGGCAGGTCAGTAGCCAAGGCACCTTCGATGGGACTTGATGGAGAAGGTGGAAATGTCATGGGACCGGAGGAGCCACCCAGCCACTCATCAGGGCAGCCAGGGCAAGCCAATTTGGGGCCGGCTTTTCGGGTTTCAAAGGGGCCCATTGGAGCGTCAGCCCAATCGGCGAAATGATTTGAAACACCTCTCAGCTCTCAGGGGTTGGGTGCTTGCCATTTGCTGTGAAAGGAAGGGGGGCCCTTGGCCAAGAGCAAAAGGAATCAACCGAATTAATTAGCCGATTAGCCTGGCCGGAGACCCCAAGAACATGGTCCGACAACCACCAATGAACACCGGGAATTCGATCGAAACTCCTGGATCCCGGGCCGGTCCCCAACCAGAACACGCCCATGTATATAATGCGCCAAACTTCCGCTCCCTCGAGCAAGAGATTTGCGAGATTTGGGGGACCACAGCAGTTTGAGTGGGTGCTCAGGGAGGATAGGGAGGATAGGGGTCCTGGCCCAAAAGAAAGCGTTATACTTAGTAAAGGAACAAGGCAAGCATCAACCTAATTCCTGCCCTCCCTGTGAAGGTCCGCCCGCCTTCGATTTTCGGTCCACATCTGTCAAGCCTTTTCGGGCGAGAGCACGCGGTCTTCGCCCTAAAATTGGTTCGCGCACACGAGCGAAGCCGCCTACAGAAGCGAAGCGCTTTTGCCTTCAATGTCTGAGGCATACTGAGCCTCGGCGGTCCTTGCTCACGCATGTTGGGGGGCCAGAGTTGGAAGGCTGTCGAGCGAGAGACGGGGTAGCTGGCGGCGAGACGGGGTACTTCGTTCGGGGTAGACGTTTGTACTTCCGCCATGTTTTTGAGGTCCATGTAATGGTCATCCTTCCACTCAGTTCACTGTTGGAATATGTTGTGAATTGTTGTAATTAGTTGTTGTATTTATATAATCAGAGCTCTAGTCAGTATAATCTTAATTCTCCGCTGCTGCGCCTGGGGAATCCATCAGTTCTTCCAAGCCATGGTTGTTTTCTCACCCTTTCCTGGAGCGCAGTGTGGAGGATCTTGGGATGCTTACGGTCTTACTCCGTAAGCCGGTGCCTGCAAGGCAACGTGGGAGCTCCGCCCCGCTTGCACGGTCCAGGCGGTCCAGGAGGTTCCATGGTCCACCCAAGGCATGTCCAAGTCCTTTCATTTCAGTTCGCTCAAGTCTACCAGGAGGGCCATGCCTCCTTAGCAATCGAGGTGATTCCCTGCCACAGGGACGTCCCATGGTCCAATTTCAGGGTCCACCAACCAACAGAGGTTGAAGGACCCTATAGCCTATCCCATAGGTACCCCAGTAAGGTCCTATAAGGTCACTTAACCTCTCTTGGAAGGAAATCACCTCAGTGAGCCGAGCCGACTCGCTGACCGGCCGCCGAAAGACGGTCCCTTGCGAAGCGAAGGTGCCGAAAAAACCGTCGGACCATTTCGGAGGGTCGGGTCGGGAAGCGGTGCGACATCGGTTTGCAGTGCGAAATCGATCGAAATCGTTTGTTTTTGGGGGCAGGGCCGGGATAGCTCCATTCCTGAGAAGTGAGATGATTACGGTTTTTTTTCTACACATGATTGACTGGTGTACACGTTGATACGTGCAGATGTGAGAGGACATGCAGTGATGTGCCCGTGTTCCATGTGAGAAAGGCAGAAAGGCAAGTTACCACAAGACATGTCGACATCTATTGGCTTCAGGTCGTGGATGACCTTGGGAGGCGCGGTGAGCGTTCCATGCCTCGCCTCCGGGTGGATGGAAGACTCCTGGTTCCTCCCTGGCGCGTTTGGAGCACATTCCCCCGCCACTTCGAGGAACCTTCCGACATTGATTTTTCTCTCCCATGTGTGGTACTCAATCGGCCGGGCGCAGCTCTTGGCGCAGCTCTGGCAGCTGGAAACGACCAAAGCTCGTCATGATGAAATATCCCATGGTTCCATACCCCCTCCCCCCAAACCATCCAGTTACCACGATGTCGCTGGTCACCAGTGGTTCCAAAAGACTAAAACCACTTCGACCGGTTACGAATCCAGGGCCCCTACTGGTTCCTTCCTACTCGTGGGAACTGCCTGGGATCCCACCGAGTCCGTCCGTCGGCACCGAGCGAACGCCAGGCGGGGAGCGAACGCCTCCTCCCCATTGGCCGGGAGCTGAGCTCGGCGGAGCGGCAGGGGCAGTGGCGGAGCGATGGAAGAGTCAGACGGACCGATGGGTGTGACGGTGCGGACCAAAGGTTGAATGACCCGAACGCAGAGATGATCCCAGTTGGGTAGGACCAGGTGACGGGTCCGAGTTCAGGTCACTTAACCTCTCTTGGGAGACTTGAATGCACCTCCGGAAAAGCGCCTGGCAGCAAAAGTCCAGTTGGAAGGCCTCCCTACTCCTTCTTTAACACCCATTTCATGTATCGGACGTTGTTGTGAGGTGGGCCAACGTGCTGCACAGACCCTTCACATGTTTTGACGCGCTCGCCGGGTTTTTGGAACGCGCACCACGCGTTCCAAAGCGGTGTTCTTTGACCTCTGACACGTCCAGAGACGTACTCCTCGGTGTACCGGCAGAGGTCCGTCCTCGACCGAACGACCTCGTGTGCTGATCCAAGGAATTTTCAGCCGAACATCCACCCCCGAAGCCAAGTCATCGAGCATTTGGCACCAGAGCCCTGCATCCCGACGCTGGACGCTGGCATGAAGCCACTCTCGGAGCTCGGATCCGGCAGATGCACCGCAGAGCCCGCTGGCCTCTTCGCTGAGGCCTTGGTGGGCGCTGGGTCTGCACGCTCTTCCACACGCGACATCATCGCGTGGCGCGGGCACCCGGCCGAGCGTGCACCAAAAGGATCAAAAAGGTCGGTGGTGCAGGAAAAGCCGCAACCTCGCATGATGGAACAGAGGGCTGTCAGTGAGTCAACTCCGAACTTGGAACTCTGCCTGGAATGGTTCATGAAGATCATTTGTTCAGATGCGTCAGTGAGTTCGTGCCCCTAACTAATTCCCTTCCAAACGACAGGTGAAGACTCACTAGGCCACTATAGGCATGCTAGTCCAAATTCCTTTCACATCCTTTGGTGTTCCCATCAGTCAAAGGCGAACTCCTACCCCAGCACCTCTCCCTCGCGGTCACCTGCAGCCACCCCCCCCCACGCACGGTCCGCCGCCCCACCGCCGTGACGGCGAGGCCGGGCGCCTGTGTCCTGAGCGTCTCCTTTGCCGTGACCCTGATCTTCGTGGCGCCTCGGAACCAAACTGCCCCGGGTGGGCGAGGGACACCCACCCCGGAACCTGGTTTAGCAGGCGGCGGTTGGTGGTTGGTTTCTTTTCGGCACCGGTGTATGTGGGGGCTGAGGGGACGCGGCACGGGGGCTGAAGGGGCGGCTGCGTGCTGGAGCCTTCGTGGGGGATTGGACTGGATCAGCGAGATTTTGAGGTGTGAGGGTGAGTGAGGTGTGCACATCGACGCTTAGAACCGCCGCAGGAGATGGGAGCCCCACAGTCCCACTCTTTCCCATTTTGGTTGGGTCAAGATCGGAAAACCGATGGGGAAGGGGAAACCGCCCCACGGCGTGAGGGGAGTTCTTTGTTTGACATGAGCAAGCAAGGTTCCTTGCGCACATCAGCAAGCCTCACAGAAGTCCTCAATGAAAAAGCCATGAAAAGCCCAGTTCATCAATACGTCCCTGGACCTTCAAGGGGTGTCCTGTCTGGAGGTCCCTGATCCTAGTGTAGGGGCTTCCAGCCAGGTGACCCCGACATGAAGGTGCTGGTCCCCCAGTTCATCGATCGAACAAGTAGATCCCCACTAAGACGACGGTCTTGGAAGGCCTTTCTCTTCGCACCCAGATCGCTCGGGTCCGATGCTCGGGCCCGAGACCCCGAGACCCACCGAGTCCACGGCCACCGAGGTGGTGTTGTGGACCGTGATGCTGGAGGCGAGAGACCAAGCAGGGCGAGACCTCCATCGCTCGAGGGTTCACGTGTGAAGGCTCGATCTACTTATGACCATATTTTGCTATAGTATATACATGCCGGCGGCTTGGGGGGGGTCTAGTCCATACATGGAGTGTCTGGGTCAGCCCCTGCGTGCAACCAATGGGGTTGGGTCCCGAAGCGCCTGCTAGTTCACCCTGCGAGTTCAGCGTCTCTGGGGTACCCTGCTCGAGTACTCTTTCAGTTGGATGGACCCAACCCCAAACTGTGTAGAGAGCAGAGGGTTTTTCAGATGGTAATTTAATGATATACCTGGACCCTCCAAAGGGGTGTCCAATGGACTACCCCACACTACCTATAAGCTTCCATTGGGCATCCCTTGGAGGGTCCTGGTATGATTGGAACATTTGTTCAAATGGGTGTCTTTATATAGTTTCAACCCAGATCCCTTCACTTCACCCAGGCCATATCCAAGATATTCATGGGGGCACTTTTTGTAATGGAGCTTCTTCTTCAACGCTTCACCCTCACCCTCTCTCAGTTGTCTCATCGACATCAGGCGCATCAAGCCAGCAAAGCCCTGGCACCGTGCCGCCCTCAAGGGTTCCCGGGGGAGGACCTGGCTCGGTGGTTCTTGATTTGTGATGATGGATCTGAATTTAGAATTTCTATGAATTTCTCTTAATACTATTTTCTGCCTTTCAACTGGATTTGTGTTACTGTTGTTTTTCTTTTAAACCTTTGGATGTCATGTTTCCCATCATGGCACTGGCAGGCATCTCCAAGTTCATCTATGTATTGTTATACCCCTAGCCGTTATTTTGTAGATGATTTCTGGTTGCCCACCAAGCGCTGTTCTTGGATTTTTTCCTTTTCGTCCCGAGGCGCGGCGCCATGGCCGGTGGACCTGGCTTGGCCAACTACCGGTCGGGCGCGGGAACTGGCTCCCAGGTGTGGGGGTGGGTTATGTTGAGTGGTTCAAGAGATGGAGCTCTTGAGTAATGTCGACGTTCGTAAAGCCATGCGAAACCATGTGAAACCAATCTCAGGGTGGGATGTATTTTTGAAATTGTATTGAACAAATTAACTAAAACAATTACTTGTTTTTAAGGAAGGCCTCAGCAGGGAACACTGACACACGAACAAAATTTTGTGCCCAGAGATGAAGAGAGGAGAGGGTTTTGAGTTGGCAAAAAAGTCGGCCACGTCGACTTTCCTGATGAACACATGACTGAGGACCCAACTTCTTCGGTTAGGTTGCCCCCAATAGAAACACGTTCAATTGTAGAAGGCACCAGCGACAGCACGGGTGAAGCACCGGTGAAGCACGGGCACCGCCAGGCCGAAGATCAAGGCCTTGGACGGCCCACACGGATCCCCGGGGAGGCCGATTCCGTCACCGAAGTCGCCACAGTAGAACAGGCCAGCAACAACGGTTTTCACCAGCCTCTGTGGTGTTTTTTTGGTATAGGTTCTTGGCCTGTATGAATTGATGGTTCGCAGAGCCTAAGGGAAAGAGACATCATAATTTCATTTTTCCCCTCTTTTTGTCTTGGGAGGGTGCATCTTCGACAGGCTTGAGGCGGGTCTTCAGGCATTCAGAAGTGAAGAAGAGCTGTTGAGCTGGGAAGACGAAGAACCCATCGGTGCGACGAAAAGCCGCGTGCCCGGACGGATGGAGACAGGAACGGGGAAGACTATGGCAATGGAAAGTGCGGAAACGGTACATTCTGACTCACTCACATGGAGTGGAAAACGGTCCAATGGAAGACTATGAAAGACATTGGAAGACTATCAGACCATCCTTTACAAAAGAATGTGTTTTTCCACTTCCATGTTAGTGAGGTGGGAGTGTAGTTATCCAGTTTGATGGGGGTCTGACTGGGTTCCCACGAAAAAGCAGATAAGAAGACTGACCTTGAAAGACACGGAGCGATGAAGCTGCAGAGACGTGTTTTCGCTCGCATCGGAGACCTCCATGTGCCCGACGACGCAGTCCCGAAAGTCATGGGCGTGACGGACTAAGGACTTCCGCGAAAAGGTTAGTCTTTCAGGTCTCCCTTCTTTGCCCTTCAAAGGTGGGCCTGAGCCATTCTACTTGCGTCTGTTCGATGCGGTGCGTCGGTCCATTTAGGCAGGCCAGGGAGGTGGGTTGGAGCCCAACTCCTGCCACAAAAAAACCAGGCAACCTCTCTATGGTGTTTTTTCATCGTTCGTCCCCTTTGATTGGTCGCCAAGGTGAGACGCCGAACTAGTGCCCTTTTGAACCCTCAACTAAAGACCTGGCAGTGAGGGTCCTGGTAGGCAAACGCAGTGCCCTTTGGAATCCTTTCCTTTGCTTGCGTGCGCCCACCAAACCACACTGCGCAGGTGCAGCGCACCCTGACGCCCCCCAGCTTTGGGGTGCGCAAGGCATCGCGGCCCATGGTGCCACACATTTGCACGAGGCCCCAGGCAGTTCGTGGGCACCTGTTCGCTTCGGAGTAGTTGGGCGGATGGACACATGGGGGATCGGAACGAAGTTGATCCCCATCCATTCCCGTCCGTTTCGCCGTGGGGCCGCGTTTCGCGTGGGCCGAACCTGCCGTGAGTTCGCGTCGCAGGGAGAGAGAGAGAGAGAGAGAACGATGAGGACGAGATCAGTAGTTCTTAAGTCATGTTTCAACGAACACATGGCGAAACACGTGCACAACGACGCCGCCTGGGTGGCGGCATGTGACAGAAAGAAGACCCCAAGACGTAGGGATGCCAGACGTGGTGTTTGATGCCAGACGTGGAGGTGTCATGTACAGATGGAGCCTGTGAGTCCATGTCGTGTGGGGAGCGAAGGAAACGAACGCGTCCTCTCCGGTGGATGTCACCCAGTCAGGCCCATGCTACACAGCACCTACACCCAACCGACGCCTTTTCATCCCTCTGTTTCCCTCTACCCATCCCTTCTCGGCCCCCACGCGTTCGTGCCCACCGGGTCTCATTCTTCTGTCCCGCTGCCTTTCGACTCGGGCGGCGACGGCCCTGTTCGGCGTGGCCGAGGCCCGTCGCTCAGTTTGTTGCAGGGTGCCTGTCAGCACGGGGGGCCCAGCGCGTGCGCGCGCTGGGAGTTCGCTGGAGCGCCCCCAGAAGCGGGTGCGTCCGCAAGCAAGCGAGACCAAAAGGGGAGACACGGAGATGGATTTGGGCGCCATCCTTCATTTCTTGGGCCTTTTGGTCACGACGAACCACCTAAAATCCGTTTCTTTGGCCTTTGACCAACCAACTGGCCACGGCCATCCGGCCGCCGCTCCACAGGTTCCGCATCCCTGTACAGTCGCTGGAGCTGTGTGGCATCCCAGCGAGGGTCAAGGGAGAGTCGGGTCGAGTGCCCAGCGAAGCACTGAAGGTGGTGAGGAAGGGCTGCCCTGGGCTACCTCTGGGTTTTGGGGGGAGCACTGGTCTGAGCGACCTCATTTTTTGGGGTGGGGCAGGGATATGGCCATGAAGGTCAGGGTGCTTCTGGCTTTTCTGGGATGTGTTGCGTCGATACTTTTCGATGGATGTTTTGGGGTGTAGAGATCGCCCGCATGAACAGGACGTTGAGAAGAAGACAGATATTCATGCCAGGCTGCAAGCGGGCTACTTCCCTACACAGATCTTGAGCCCCACTGGAAGTTGCTTGGCAGCACTTGACTGAAAACTCCCAGCAGGGTCATTGATGCGAGGAATGGGCAGTTGGTGTTTGACCAGGTGGGTGTAACTGTCCAGTTGTTCATCCTGAAGTGGAGACTGGTGAAGGCGGCTGGAATAGCCTTCCCAATCCAAGTGGATTTAAGCGAATCCGAGTGCTTTTCTCAGAGGATTTTGGTGGGGATGGAGAGGCACGAAGGTCCTCAAGTTCAGATTCAGACTGAGAGGAAGCCGGAATTGCGAGGTGCAGAGCATTCCATTGATGATACTCTTGTGAGGATTGAGAAGAGAACACTGCCCCTACCCCTTCCCTACAAGATGGTGGATTGGGATTTGTTGAATCAAGTCGCGATGGGAGACTGGAATCTCTAATCAGAAGAAGAAGAAGAAAAAGAAAACATAATGTTATAGCTATAGTATATAGACGACCTTTCTTGCTTTTCATTTTTCCTCATATAGCGATGATATCCAACCTAATAGCGATTGGCCTCCAACCTAGTAGCCACGGCCTCCAACCTAAGAGCGATGGCCTCCAACCAAAAGTAGGGTCAGTGTGCCCTATGATGGCCTCCAATGGCCCCCGTTTCCTTGGATGAAGAGAGAGCTGAAGAACAAATTTGTACGCGCGCGCGTGTGTGTGCGCGCAGCAGCGCCGGTGAAGCCGCTTGCTCAGATCCGCTGCTGCACGCTTGGCTGCCACTCTGTGGGGAAGCCTCTGGAGTGAGGGGTGAGGATGTGTTTCGAACAAGATCAAACAAGGGTGGTAGTGGGACCAGTGCGGAAAGCGGACCGTGGGACTGGTTCTACACCCACTTTCCCAGAGCGGTGTCTAGTCACGGGGTGTCCGTTCACCAACGGGAAGAGGCGGGCCGCGGACCTGGCCGCTGGGAGACCGCAGCTCGCAGCCGGTCCCGACTTGGAAAGTTGTGGATGGAAGTTATGAGGCACACTGAGTCGACTACCACCCAGACGCGGACCCGAACCTATGCAGGGGTCGGACCCGAATCCTCTCGATTGGTCTGGGGTCTCAAATCCCTATGGTTTTGAGGGACCAAGGGCTGTTTGGAGCGTCTAGGCAGGACCTTTTTTTCAGTGACACCAGTGTCCCTAAAGAGGTCACTTAGAGACTCCGGACTCCGGAGGTCACGAACTGAAGGTCCTTCCCTACACCTTCTGAACATTGACATGGACCTTGTGGTTTTGGCACCCTGAGTCAGATGGTTTTCCTCTACCGACCCGGTGGCTTTCGGGGTGTCACGCGCACGAGTTCATCAGTTGGGAGGGCCCAAGTACTGTGCATCTTCGCTTGGCACAACCCCAAGTGGTGAAGCGAACTGTTCCTCACTGCCAGCAACATTCTTTAGAAACCAGGGCTGTCAGCCCAGGACAATTAATCTGGAACCTGAACATTGACCAGACTTTAAGACGATGTTCCGAATACCAAGGTTCCATGTGGGCTCTCTTCCAGGCCGTGTACTTGTTTCTTCCCGTCCCACTTCCTCGCCTTGGGTTTTCGCCCGGCAGTGCTCCGCCGAGCTGCTCGCTGCTCGGAATGAGCGCCTGCGCCGAGGTCAGAAAACACCCCAGACAGGGCCACCTGCACAGGACGGGAGAGACGAGATCCTGGGCACCGGGTGCCAATGGTGCAAACGGAAGCTGGGCGAGCGGGGCAGTCGTTTTTTGGTGGGAGATGTACTGTAGAAGAAGGGAACCATCCGTGACCATCCCAACCATTTTTGTCCGTCAAAGTTGAAGGCTTCAGGACGTACAGAAAAAGGTATGAAAAGGTCAGATTTGAAGAAGCTGCAATTTGATGCAATTTGCACATGGGTCCTTTCTTGGGTTTTGAAAGGAACTCAGGAATTATCCCTCCCCTCGTCACCAGGGTAGCCGCATGCTGCCAGTCAACAAGTCGATGGCATGTTCATGCACTCAGCGATCCAAACGCTGAGAGCGGTTTTGGATGGTTTCGGAGAGCGGTTTTTGCTTGGTCAGGCGCAGCTGGGGCATTTACTTCAGCCTTGCACCCGGCAAAGAGAGAAGACATCATACTCAGAAATCAGCCATGCGAATAGCTAACAAAAAACAACGATGAGGTGTATAATGCAAATATATGTGTACATATTTTTGTGCCCAAGCTGCATGTCCAGACGGGAGAATCTACCAATGAAGCTGGTCAGCAGGGGTTTGTCCAGAGTGCATTGCTCACCATGAAATGGTCGTTGATTCCACAAGAAGGCACGTGCGGCAAACGTCTGATCGTCAAAACATCTAGTCAGCTGGGATGAGAACAGATCTGAATGAAAACTGGCCAAAAGTCCCGTGCAGGCATTCATGAACAGATGACAACAATTATTTTTGCGCACATGATTTTTCCGTAAGAAACATGACATGAGACCCATTCAATGGACCATGCACGAGATGAGATCCTCTGGCTTTCTTCCCAAGCCACTATCCGTCTCCGTTCCGGTAGTTACTGAAATTCGCTTTGCGAACAACAGGATCAATGTCAAGGATTATCACTTTGAACCCCCCCCATCCAATGCCCCGGTTGGGACAACGATTTCCCAAACGCATCTGAAAAGACATCTCTGAGGCTGACCACCACCGCGGCCTTGTCCCGGCACCCGCATGCCAGCCCCGGGCCCCAGAGGGGCCAAGATGGACTTGGATGGACTGAAGCAGACGGAAGGTGAGCATCGGGTAGCATTGCTTGGGCACCGGTCAGGGTGTTGCCAGCTGTGCTTGGGCCAAGCTGTGCGACAAGCTAGACTCTGCAGAGAGAGAGAGAGAGGTAGGCAGAGGATGCATTAGTTTGGCCTCACTGGTTGCCTACCTGGTCCAACAAAAGATCCGAAGAAGCAACAATTTGACGAGGACTTCTGAACATGGGCTTCATCTGATGTCCACATTCTCAGCGGAAACTAGACCAATACTATTCCAGATCACTCTATTCATCTCTATTCAAGTATGGCAGCATGTTTGGGACATTCCCGTCCCAACCCATGGATGACGTGCTCGGAACCCCCGCGGAATCCGAGGCATTGGCCTCTTGACGGTGGGCGTCCGGGCCCCCCGGTGCACGCCACCGCGTCCCGCGTCGCCGGAGCGCGGGTTGAGCAGCTTCAGGGTGGTGCAACATGGCCCTCAGGCTGGCTGACCTGAACCATTTAGGGATGGTTTGGGCTACCAATTTTGCGGGTTCGGCTCGTGCGAGGATGTTGATCATAGTTGGTCCCATGAGGATGGATTTGGGATCTCTCAGGTGGCTCCCCTACTCAGCCCGAAGGAATTACCAGACACTGCACGAGGGTCCAGTCACTAGGGATGTGGAACCCACTGGTGGCTGGTGATTCTTGGCCGGTCAGATCGCACGAGTCGGGATCCCGGCGGCCCAGCTGGACGCCCCAGCTGCGAACCGCCGGACATGAACCTCCCCGTGCTGTGGGGAACCGCCGTGCCTTGGAGGGAGACCTTCTTGGGTTTTCGCTTCCTCCAGCTTCGATCCACCGGCGGACGGCGTGAGGACGCCTCCCTCTTGCTTTTACAAAAAGCAAGCTACCTAGTGACCTAGGAGTGTCCTTGCTCCTAGTAGTAAGGCCAACAGGAGCCCCTAGTAGCTTCGTGTTTGTAGTAGTAAGAATGCTACTAGTAGTAATGCCAGGAGCCCCTAGTAGCGTCCTTGCTCCTACCGAGGCCAAGGAGCAGAAGGCCGAGATCTTTGGACCCAAGAATCTCAAGTGCGGGCCCCGTGGGTTCTCCACGCGGAAGACAGGTGAGGGTGGGCTGACCACCACCGCTGTTCGGCGTGGTGGGTGGACAGGCGTCCAAACGCCCAAATACATCCAAATACATCAATGGCTTCAACCTGGCTCAAGCCTTCAACAGCCATTTTAAGAACCGGATCGCTGTTGAAAGCTTGCCCTATAGAGAAGGAGTGTTCCTGGCATTTGTATGGTGGGCCTATTCTATAGGGTTGTGGCATGTTGTTGCTAAACAATGGGTGGATATGGGTGGGTCATTTTGTGGCCAAACCATGCTAACAGGCACTACTTGTAGAGGTGTCATGGCGATGTTTGTTCTTGTTACGACTCATATAGGGTCTTCGAGACTTGCATTGGGTGGAGCGGTATGCTTTCCTGTTGTGGAAACGTAATACCGTAACTTGAGTGATTTATATATACTGTATATATATGTATGTATATGCTCCCTTTATCTGAGGGATCCTGGACTATGTAGAACAAGATTGTTTCTCCATCATTTTCCTTTGATGGTTGGTCATTTCTCCATAAACGACATCACAAGATTATACGGTAATATATGGTAATTCATACGCAAACGAGTGGTTCTAGACATGAAGTCTCTACAAAATGGCTGAAGCAGGATATATACTACCCAACAAAAAACGCCTTTTTACAAACTCATCCTACACTCGCACAGCCTCTCATTGATACCGACTTCCGGTAGCAGGACTCCTTCCGTTTTGAAGACGCAATATCATTTTTTGGTGGTGTGTGACTTTATACACAAGTGATCAGATTTGCCACTGGCTTGCTTCTCCTGTGGCATAGTAGTCCTGTGATTTTGATTCCGGAAGAAACATGAAGAAATTGGATCCGTTGATGTTGTATTTTGTATGAACCTGCTTCGGGTTGACTTTTATCCAACCACAGCAAGCGCAAAACAACATACTCAGTCTGCCTGACAATTCTTCTGCAAAATCATGAACCTCTTCCCTTAGCCCTGAGTCGGCGAGTCTATTTTGTATGCAAGTTTATTTCTGACGTCTGGAGATGAGCACATTGGGGAAAAGGTCGTTTTGTAATGTTGTATAGAGATTTAAAACGGGTGTGTGGCCCCAGCCTTGTCATGTAAACATTCTCTTAGTTACAAAGTGTATGGCCCAACATCACCATCCGAAGGCTTTCGGGGATCCTAGGTCTGGGTGGACCTGGGTCGATCGACCAAGCTTCGGTCCAACCCAACGGCTGCTTCGCGCCATCGGCGATGGGCGATCCGGCCCAGGTATGGCTCCCTGGTGCGGTCGAACGACAAGTGGCGTGGGAGCTTAAACATCGAACCGGGGGAGCCAAGGCGGTGAGCTTAGCACACTCCCTGACAGCAGCTCTTTAGAAGTGGAGTTCACCAGTTCACCACCTGCTGGTAGAGGACAATTTACCTTCCAAAGGACATTCATGCATTTTCCACTTCCATGATTATGTCAGTGAGTAGTTGAGTGGTGGTTTTTGCGAACATTTTGGACCCATTCTATCACTGAGTTTGTTCTCAGCCCCCAGCCCTGCCAGAAAGCTTTGTGTTTTGTGGATTCGCCCACAACTGATACAGTCTATCAATGGAACCATGTGCTTGGAACGCTTAGCCGCTTAAACTCTGACGAAGGAGGCAAGAGGCAGCTTATTTCTGTTTAGCTTTGTGCCAGGCTCGGGGTTGCAAGACTGGAGTTGGTGTTTGGCTTTGGACGTTTGGCTTCGAGCAATGGAGTGACAAGAGCTGTGAACATATAGTTCCAACGAGCTTCTGTAAACACTTTCAATCCGAGTCAAGTCCATCCAAGCATCAATTTAAACTACAACCTGATTGACCCCTGTATTGGAGCCAAAACATGGTCTTTTCCTTTCAAGACAGTAACGGATCGACCTCGATCGATCCAGCGGTCATGTCGATGAGCATTGCTGTGCGCCAGATGAGCGGCTGGGCAGCATGCCCAAACGATACCGAACGATTCACGTAAGTAAACATGACGTAGAAATTCACCACCCCCAAAAACCACCAAAGATGTCTACATCCCGGGTGGAAGGGTGGACCTCGGCGGGGCCCTCCTTTCACCCGAACGGGTGGAGGTCGAATGGGGTGGAGGTGGATTCATGTGTTACTGAGGGGGAATTCTGCTTGAAACGCCATCGCCATCCATGGCCTATGCCCCCCGAAAAGTCTAAAGATGCAAGGTGAAGATGGTGAGGCAAACATGCGAAGCATGGGAAACATGCCCACAGAAGTGAATGTGATGCCTGCCCTTGTTTCCCAGCATTGCATACTGGTTGCATGATGCATCAGGTGGCGAAATGATATCTGTTATAGCTTGGCCTCGCATGACGGTGGGGGAGTTCAAGGAGGAGCTGCAGAAGAAGTTCACCTCCAAGGGGGAGGTGACCACGCGAGTGACTTTGGTGGACCTTCTGGTCGGTGAGAAGAAGTTGCTGGATGACTCTGAGACTCTCTGGCAAGCTGGGCTTGATGCTGACGCGATGGTCCAAATGGTTGTCACAGAGCAAGTGGAGGTGGTGGAATGCTCGTATCGCCTGTCCACGTTATGTGTCGAGAGGCTCTCATTCTTAGACCGGAGAGTCTCAAGCGGCTCGTGCTTGGAGGGCAACGCCTTGTTCAATGTGAAAATCCCCTCAGGGGATCGGGCAGTGTTGGACTACGCCTTCGTCGAGTGCAGGTCTATAGCGCGGGTCATCTGTGCCAGTACCGTGACCGCGATTGGAGAGAGTGCCTTTGCCAAGTGCAGCTCCTTGACCAGCGTGACGATTCCCACGTCGGTGACGACCATTGGAGAGGGTGCCTTTGCGGACTGCAGCTCATTGACCAGCCTCACAATTCCCGATTCGGTGACTGTGATTGAAAAAGGTACCTTCTCGGGTTGCAGTTCGTTGGTCAGAGTAACAATTCCAGACTCTGTGATCATCATTGGAGGTTGTGCGTTTTCAGGTTGCAGCTCCTTGACCAGCATGGCCATTCCCGATTCCGTGACTATGATAGGGTTCTGTGCCTTTTTGAGCTGCAGCTCATTGGTCAGCATAACGATTCCCGATTCGGTGACTGTGATTGAAAGAAGTACATTTTCTGGCTGCAGTTCGTTGGTCAGAGTGACAATTCCCAACTCAGTGACTGCAATCAAGAGATGTACCTTTTCGGATTGCAGTTCGTTGACCACTGTCACAATTCCTAACTCTGTGACTGTGATTGAGAGCTTTGCGTTTTTGAATTGCAGTTCGTTGACCAGGGTGACCATTCCTTCTTCTGTGGCCACCATTGGAGATGGTGCCTTTTCGCAGTGTTGCTTGTTGACGAGCATTACAATTCCCAATTCAGTGTCCTTGATTGAAGGTAGCACCTTTTCAGGTTGCAGCTCGTTGACCGATGCGATCATACCCAGCTCCGTGACCGCGATTGGAGAGAGTGCCTTTGCCAAGTGCAGCTCGTTGACCAGCGTGACGATTCCCACGTCGGTGACGACCATTGGAGAGGGTGCCTTTGCGGACTGCAGCTCATTGACCAGCCTCACAATTCCCGATTCGGTGACTGTGATTGAAAAAGGCACCTTTTGTGGCTGCAGTTCGTTGGTCAGAGTAACAATTCCCAACTCTGTGACGGCAATTGGAGGTTGTGCTTTTGCAGAGTGCACTTCCTTGATCAGCATGACCATCCCCAAGTCTGTCATTTGGCTTGGGCCGGATGTGTTTCTGAATTGCATGGCCTTGACCAATTTGACATTGCCAAGGTCCGGAAGCAAGAAGAAACGTTTAGATGTCTTAAAAAGACTTGGTCTTCTAGTGCTGTTGGCTTCGGCTGCCCAAAGCATCTGGCACGACTGGAAATGGCCGTGTTTTCTACTTCTTTGCTGTGTTTTCTGTGAGGGAAAACGGCGCGATACGGCGCGTGGACACGCGCATTTGGGCAGAAGATGCCACTGGACGGTGCTTCTACGAGTCTGGGGGGTGGTGAGGCTGGGTTTGGGGTGGTGAGGCTCGCACCAAAGCAGCACCGATGTCTGGACGTGTTTTTGATGCTATGAATCCCTAGGGCTCCAGTCATACCGAATCTGAGGTTTGGTGGGACTCGAGTGAGTTTAGAGGGTCCCAATACCTTCTGAGGAGGTACTTGGAGCCCTAGGGAGTATGAATTTATGTCTTGTTCTTTTTCTTTTGCGGGGAGGGGTTGGGCTTCAAGATTCTTCAAGCCAACATTGGATCTAGCCCAGTAGCCTCCATGCACCTGATAAGAGACAAGAATCATGAACCTTACACCCAATCCAGAAACCACAACAAGGCTCATCCCACGCTGCGCATCCTGCTTGGGGACCAGCTTTCGCATAGAAGGACCGATTTGGGCCATGATTATCCCAGACACGACCTGTCTGGGGCTGTCATAGCACTGCCGATCGATTGCGGTGGTGCCAGAGGGGTCTTTCTGGGGCGGCGTATATGGCAGTCCCATGGAGTGTTGAGGATATGATATGACCCTCCTGGGCCAGGGCGCCAGGGCCGTTGGGACGTCGGCGCCGGGTTTGGGACGTCAGCATGGGAGAAGTCGTGGGGCTCGAAACCAGACGTGTCTCGCCGCATCTTCTCCATCTTCTCCGAAGCTCCGGGTCCGGGACGAACTCAGGTTGGTCTACCATCACCATGAGGGGCTTGGCACCTCAGATGACTCGGGCCTTCGTGGAGTTTGCGACGAGGACCCATTGCCATGTTCAATGGGTCCCTCCGAAAGGGCACTTGGTGACCATGTTCTTTTCCGTCCTTTTCCCATGCCACTTGGAACCACAGTGTGCCTTTTGGTTCGGACTGTGCCACTGCTAAGGGGATCTAAGGGGTTAGGACCACCCAAAATGAATCAAAACATCAAAAAGCCCTTGGGTGGTCTTCATCAGACTCGTCATTTCGAAGCCTCTGACATGGGCTTGCCGCTCTTTCGACCGGGCGGGGGGGTAGACCGTGAGACGTCCTCGAACTGCCCTCGACCGGAACGCGAAACTGGCACTTCCACGGAAGGCGAGGAACTCAGCTGCACCCCTGATGTATGTCAAACGGGGGGCCCGTGAGGCCTTCCTCTCAACTCCAAGCCACTGACCTAGGGGCCCGGATGCCCTCGTCTTTGAGCTATAGACTATAGACGAGCGTTGGTCTTTGTCTTTGTTCTTGGACATGTGCCTTAGGGCATTTGGTAGGAGTGGCCCCCCCAACGATGCCCCCCCTCTTCTTGATCGGCTTCATTAAAAGCAGCTTCATCAAGTATTGGGCACGAGCAGAGCTGAAAACCTCGTGAGAGGTGGTGACAGCTGGGGCTTTTCTTGGCGTGTTTTTCAATTGAAGCTGCTTCCACATGCCGGTGGGGCTTGTCCCAGCATGTCCCCTGAAAGGATCGACGCACATTTCATGCCAAGTCTTCACTGGATTTCACTGACCTTCCCCACCCGCTGGTGAAGCGTGGTAGACTGGGGAGGCAAATGCGAGAGCATCATCTCAGTGTTTGTGAGAAACATCCATGGGTGAATTGGTCTTTATGTTAGAGTCCCGACTAGGTAAAGATGATTCTAAGCTCACCTTTGGGATTTCACCTTTGTATTTTGTATTCATGTAAAAAATATTAGCCAAGCACATCACACCAAACGGGGGGCCCCAAACGGAAGCTTCCAGCGACCCTTGGAAGGTCGGAACAGCTTGCCCTCACCTTGCATCACATGCCTGCTGCGTGGGGGGGCCCTCGACCAGTTGGCCCGATGCGATGGAACCACAAGCCGTGGGGGCATAATAAGACAGCCGCCACCCCGAAAAAGAATGGCCCGTTGTAAACGCCGATCGGTGTTGGGTGGTTCGTCACCGTCGTCCAGATGGATGGCCCTGGAGGATGGGGGCGTTACTGGTGAGAACCGCTTGGTGATAGTGATGGTTCGCATGGAGGCTTTTGGGACTGAGGTAGAGGCCCCAAGTAGCTTAGCAGCTCAAGTCGGGGAAGGCTCCATTGTGATGGGTGGATTCATGATGGTTCATGAGAGATTTTCCCCATGCTGTAGATGTGTAGATGTAGCATCACCCTGCTAGGTTGAATGGTTCCCCAAAGGAACCGACCAGTCAAAAGTGAACATGTTCCGGTGCCCTACTGTAAGTGTCCGGAAGCTTTGACATGGAACAGGCATCTGACTCTTCAAAGCACCCACCCTATCTCCAAGAACTCTACATTCCAACCCACTCACTAACATGGAGGTGGAGTTCACCACCTGTTTGTAGAGGAAAGTGGCCTTCCTTTGGTGCCATGTGATCCACACCGCGCGGTCAGGGGTGTGCGACCTGTCCGTATGGAAGCAACACATCCTTCGGACAGGTGTCGTTGGTTTTTCGCTATATATAGGGTCGCCGGTTGCGTCACTCTGCCAACCAAAGTCACTTTGGAAAATGAGTTTGTAGAAGCTTTCCGAAGCCTAATGTAGGCATATATGGCATACATGGAGTGTCTGGGAAGGATAGACCCGCCGATACTGAAGAGCAAACATACCAACTCCGGCTCCTTCTTCATCTCCTCTCCACCGCCTGGCTTCGGCTTCGCCGCGTTCCACGCCGGTCTCCACGCCGTGGGGTTCTCCACGCTCCAGGTTGGGCTTCTGTGCCCGTGCAGCGGAGGGACATGAGGTGGCGAGTGCCACGCGCATCGCTGGGGGCTGCTCGGCGCTCCCGAGAAGCGGCGACGGAAGCGGTTCGGCGGAAGCGCGCCCAGGCGGGGCTGAAGTAGAAGCTCAAGAAGCAGAAGTCGTTTCGAGGCGTTGCGAGGGGGCTTTTCAGATGATATATCAAATCTAAACTGTTTGTAAAAAGCTAGTTTTTAAATGGTTGACCTGGTCTATGTTGTACAAATGAAACAATTGTGGTTCGGCAAGAGCCATGGACCATGAAATTCATGGTGGAATCCTAGGTCCTAGGGTAAACATATACACCAAACTAATCGATCGATCGATTAAACATATTAGAGATGTATATATACATATATACAGGGGAACACCGATGTATAGTACGTGTTGAGTAATTGATAGTATTTGGGTCCACGGATTGGAAGGAAGCAGTTCGATGACCCCATGTGTCCTCGATTTCATGGTTCAAACCTTGCAACGAACAGCCCCCCCATCAGCCCTTTAGATGCCAGTCACCACTCAAAACTACTACCACCCAGGTCAGTCCTATGTGTGTCGTATACGTTTAGCATGCGATCCGATCCATCCCTTCCATCCGATCCGCTCCGCCTCCCCACCTTTCGACGCTGAGGTTCCGGTGAAGTGCTCAGCATCACCATCAACCCAGGAGGTGACGCGCGACTTCCCAGAAAGCGGCCGGATTCCGGGCGTCCACGGCTCCGTTGGCCGCGTTCGGTGGCTGGGGTCGGGCGGTTTTGGCGCTCGGGTGGGGCAGCTGGGCTGGCAGATCAATCGATTTTTTCGGAGTCACAGTCAGTCATACCTCCCGGGATGAGTGGAAGACTCATGAGTGATCGGCGAGGGTAGCAGGTTAGCAGAAAGTGATAGTAGAAGGCCCCCCCATTGGGATTGTAAAACATATATGGGGGGCTTATCAATCAAGAATCAAGAATCTAGCCAAGGCACAGATCAAGAGGATGGAGATCCAGATGTGAACTCTGGGTTCAACTTGCATTGTCTATCCTTTTCTGATCTTTTCTGAGATCGATTTAATAATATCTAATCTATCATAGTCATAGTCATATATTAAGAGTCATAATGGTAGTAGTAGTAGTAGTCGTCGTCGTCGTCGTCGTCGCAGTAGTAGCAGCAGCAGGAGCAGTAGCAGTAGCAGTAGCAGTAGTAGCAGCAGTAGCAGCAGCAGCAGTAGTAGTAGGAGGCTAAGACATGTTTTGGTAGAGGGAGCAGCCCCTGTCCAAAGCGGCCTTCCCAGGCCCTTCTCGCCCTGCTTTGCTTCCTCGCCGTGGCCCGGACACCTGGGGACGGTGAGAGTGAGCTGCAGCGGAGCGGGACCTCCTTCAACCGCTTGGGACGCCCAGGTGCTCAGCATGTTGGAGACCGTGGTGGTCCCCAACGAAGCTCCTCCCGTCCCACCTCCCGCGGCGCTGCCGCCGGGCTACGCCGATGCCACCGTGGCCACGCGCTCGGCGCCGGCCACGGCGCCTGCCACGGCGCCCGCCACGGCGGCCACGTCGCCCGCGTCGGCGCCGGGAACGGCACCGGCAGTGCCCCGCGAGGCGGGCAGTGACCAGTCGTTGCCGTCGCTGCCGAGCCGCCCGGGCAGCGGCCTGCTGCCGCAGCGCGTGCCGGTGGTGCGGTCCTTGCCGCCGGTGGACGCGGCACGGGGTGGCGTGAACTTTGCGCCGCGACCGTCGCCGAGGCCCTAGGCCCTGTCCGGAAGACGAGGTGCAAAAGCTTGGAGCGCAGTGAAGAAGCAGAGCCTCTCACTAACCTTGATCCAATGATCCAATGTGAGAGAAGAAGCCTTTGCACACACCTGGCCAGTTCTTTAAGATGTCTCCAGCGAAAGGTAGTCGTGGCGGTGAAAAAGTGTCTGTGACATTCTGTGAATGTGATCAGGCGAAATCGAATCCAGCAGAGGTTGAAGAACCCTATAGACTATCCTATAGGATCCTATAGGTACCCTTGTAGAGTCCTGTGAGGTCACTTAACCTCTGTAGGATGAACATGTTGGAAAGAAGACTTCTTCCACTGGTGGATTTGGTGGCCCTGTTCCTTTGCCCTTGGTTGCCGATGATGCCATCCTCCAAACGAGCGGCGTGCATGAAAGGCCAAACCACAGGGTGCCGACTGCCGGCAAGAAACAGAGAATCTGTGTTTGGTTTCCGGAGCTTCGGGTTCTAGTTGGTTTTCTCTACAGTGGGAGGATCTCCGCGATCTCGCTGTAGGGTTTCGGGATGTATCGCTGAGAACCTCCAATGACTATATATATACATCCAAGAAACACCTACAGCTTGCGAGTCCCAGATACGATCCAAGACTTAGGACTGCCCGAAAAGGTCCGATTCCTGATGAACGCTCATCATGAATCATGAACAATCCCTGCCCCACCCTCGCAAGTCATTCCTGGTGCCGCTTGCTGCCCAGCGGCTCAAGCTTCGCGCCCCGCGGCCGAGAAGGGGCACCATTGTTCTGGAAGACGGAGATGGAGCTGGTGCGGACTGGGGTGGGAGAGTGGAGAGAGAGCTCAAGGATGCTGAAATTTGTTATTGGATGTTATTGGTGAGGATGGTTCTTGGGAGTCAGCTGTAGTCGACATGCGGTGGATCTGGTCTGCAACCCGCCCCTGGGATCACAGCTGCAACAGCACCAGGTCCCAGTCGCTGTGGCACAGACTCCTGCCGCAGTCCCGGCGCCCCAGCGGCCGTGGGCTGCGGCAGTCCGGTGCGTGATGGGCGGCCCCTGGTGGACTGAACCTGCGACAGGATCTTCATGAACACTTGCCAACTTGCTCCTGCAAATAGTTTTTCAATTAGTTTTTCTTCCCCCTTCGTGAGTTTGCTCTTTTTTGTTTGTTTGGGCACGACGACTCTTTCAATCTGGTTTTTTAATCTATAGAGGTTCTCTATATACACCCTGGAAGACTAACATGGAACCTGACAACCCCTGGTTGGTAGAGGAAAATAGTCTTCCATGGGGGAGCCTGGAGGCTGGTCTTATCCATTCTTAACCAAATTGTCACTAGCCATAGCTATGTCAAAGCAGTCTTTGGATTGTGGCCATGCAGGGAATGAAACGATGAGCCCACATGGGCACCCATTCTGATATGACAACTTGTTGTTCACGTCCTCACTAGGTTTTGGTGCTCCTCATGGAAGATATGCCGCCCCAACTTTCCAAAATATCACGTGATCAGTTTCATTGGAGGTCCTTTCCAGGTCGCTTGGACCACGCGCAGTTTCTTTCGAAGCTCAAGAGGGACAGAGGCCCGGCCATGTAAAGATATGAAGGTCACTTGGCGCGACCAGAAGTGCCAAGTCTCCACCAGCAGCTGGGTCGAAAAACGATGGACGGGTACGTATCACCGCGTGGGGCGGACTGAGTGGGCGGGATGCTGAGAAGAGCCGCAGGGTGAACTGGCATGGCTTTGGAGTTGAAGAATCACTTGGCTTATCTTGGCTTCGGCTTACTCTCTGAGAGTTCCTGTAGAATGTGACAGGCTTCTTTGGAATCCGAAGAATCATGTTTTATGGGTGGGCAGGCCGGCAAAACCCCAAGAAAGGTCACTGGGCCTAGAGTCTGGATGATGAGAGTAGCTTTAGTAGCAGCTTATGTCTCGAGAAGGTTCTCCTTTTTCTGATTCTGGCGCCTGCCGCCATTCCGCCCTGCGATCGATGGAATGCGGCTCAATGCCGATCCTTCTCGTCTCACTGTCCGCATCACCGAGCGCACTCGGGCGGCGGCCCGACTTCCCGCGCGCTCGGCGGCACGGCCCGACAGACCACGCTCCGAGGCTTCTCGACGATCGAGCTGGAGGTTCCCGAGACTCCGCCCTCCTGCGGATCCTTCCTGCCCGGCCTCCCCGACACGCCCGTCCGAAAGACAGCCCTGCGGCCGCCACGGAGAGGATGGGGGGGATGAGGGATGATGAGGGTGATCTGATCCGATTGGAGGTTGTGAATGGTTTTTCGTGGGGGAAGAGAAAGACATGTCCGTTCTTGGTTTCTCTTAACCTTGGTGGGGGTTCCCCACCCTAGTGACACTGTGTCGACGCTGGGTTTGGGGCAGGTCTGCTCCGCTCTGAGATCCCAGACTGTAAAAGCATCCCGTAAAGCCCCACCGCTTTTGGGCAGGTCAAGACGCCGTCCAAGACCCACCACCTATCCACTCCTATTCCACTCCTGCTTTATGTCCCTAGACTTCCAACCACCATTGAATGAATAGGCTTCACCGAGCCAACTCAGGATTTTACAGGTCAGCCAGGTCGTTCTAGGGCACAGGGTGCTATCCATGGAGGTTAGGGGTGCCCATGATCCGCTCACGTAAGGGGACAACACCACCCCGTCTTGTGACTCCTGGTCGTCAGGTCTTTCTGGTGCGGCACGGCGAAGCGCTTCACAACATTGCGGAGAAGTTGGCTTTGCCGCTGGGGCGCACTGCGGCCGGAGAGCGGCCCATGGCGGGGTCGAGAGTGGACTGGGAGGAGGCGCTCCTTGTTCGTGGCGGCGGTTGGAAGGTAGACTCTTAGATATCTCTCAATTGATGCATAAACCACAATGAATTCTCTCGTTTGGATTGGCTTCCTCTCTCCTCTCTCCTCTCTCAGTGTTCAATCCTCTTGGATTGACTTTGTTCCAATCATTCCTCCCGCCCACAGACAATTTTGAAATCATTGTGCGAATTGACACTCAAAGACCGCTTCAATTGTTATATGCTTTTGCGGTATGCTGCACCTGTGCAGTTTTTTGCCTTGCGACGCTTTTGTCGCTACTCTTTACAACATGTGCCAAAATTTGTATGACAGTGCCACTGTTCTCTTGGTGCACTGTGCTGTTCTTAATGCTGAAAGCTAGCAGTACAGAGGCTCAGCAGGGAGTGGGCGCTTAACCGCCACACCAGATTCACAAGATCTGGGAGCCTCTCACCTCACTCAGTTCTCTACGGGAGAAAAAAGGAAAGTTTTTTGGTGTTTTGCTGTGCTGTGAGCTGACAAGCGGTGCCCGACATTCTTTCCAGAGGTGAGTGCATACACGTGTCTAACATACGTATACGCTGGTTGTACCTTGATTCGTTTCTGAGGCACCAGCGGACAAATAAACATACACCTTACCTTCATTGATTCACTTTTGCGAAATTGTATTCTCCATGATTGCTGTCGGCATGTTCTGGCTTGTGTTGTTGCAACAAATTTTGCCACCAAAATGTGTTGTGAGCTTGAAAGAATCTACACAACCTGAGTTCTGCACTCGAGAGTCGCTTGTGGACTGCCTGAAGAACACTCCGCCGCATGAAGTTGTCACTCACTTCAACATATATCTTAAACTTGATGTGCGTCATCTTGACTTCGAAGCTCGTTGTGAGCAAGTTGCCAAGGCTTGTTGCGGTTGGGCTCTGAAAGGTTTTCCGTATGACGACAGAAAAACGAATTTGAGAATCATGCAACACATGTATGGTGTGCTCCTTGAATTGCTTGTTCATGTTCCTATGAGAAGAGTCAAGTTGTCGTCTTGTTTGTGGAAGCTTGCCTGCACTTTGTCACATGTTCTTGGCTTGCACGAAATGTGGGGTTTTGCTTGGAAAAGAAGCCCCTTGAGAGTCATGCTGCGGGCTTTCAGTCGAGAAGTTCAGAGTGCCTGTCTTGAGAAAAATTTCAATTTGCAAGGCTGGCGAAAATATTTGAAACATGTTTTTTGCATGGTTTGGCGTGACGTCCCGGAAAACTCAGCCCAATATTTTGTTTGGGCTAGTCAACAAAAAGTTTTTTACATTGGAAAAGCCAACGTGCGCAGAAATACTGCTGATCACTTAGGCGTCGTGGCGCGCTTTAAAGAACACGTTTTAGCAACTTTCAAAAATGAGAATTTGGCGCATGTCGCAAAGCGCTACCGTGCCTGGAGAAACGCACGTCCTGAAGAATTATTCATGGTGGTTGCTGCATGGCATGAAGAAGGCAATATTCTGTCATACGAAAAGTTTCTCATCCATCACATGCAGGCTTCTATTCAAGACAGGGTCCGTAGCAGTTCTTTCAAACCACACAGATTTAGGCCCTGGCCTCGTTTCAGAAGCATGACCAACCTCAAACAAGAATCTGATTTGAATGTTTCCCATGAACTTTTGGAAAGGCGTGGAAAGCGCAGGTCGGACATCTGCAAAGGTTTGCCTGGCGTTCCTGATTGGGTTTCTTCCTTTAACGACTTGTGTGCTTGGCAGCTCTCAGTTTTTGGACGTGCGCGTTCTGACGTGATGCGCATGATGTATGCAGTTGAACGTGTTGCTTGGCTTGCTCTTTTCCTTTCCCAAAAGCATGCGCGCCTTAATTACCAACAACTTTGGGACACGGGGAGAGCCCGTGCAATTGCGACTGGCGCTTGGGTTTTTGCTGGCGAATTTGACCATGAAAATGCTGCGCGCGCTCAGTCGAAACTTGAACGTTTCTTGAACACTTCACCCCTCACCAGCTGCAAAACCTTCGTGATAAAAGTGCCGACACGTTGCCCGCGCGTGTTGTCAAAGGTTAAGCGGCAAGTGTTTGGCATTCTTGCTTCTGTTCGGAAAAATTCACATTGGTGGAGCATCATGTTGTCAAAAAAGATCCGTGTTGTACGTGCCAAAACTCCTGTGCTGTCGCAACTTGTTCCGTCTTGCATACAGGTGGCTAGATCTCATGATGTTGCTGAACTTGTCGGTGGTGACCATGAGCTTGCCGAATCATTTGACTTGAGAAAAGATGTTGTCAAAAGTGGGCTATATTGGGATATCCCTTTGGAACACCCTAACCCCAAAATGCAAGGAATTATGCAAAATCAGTTTGTTAACATGCTCAAACTTTACAAACTTTGTCATCTTCACCAAGAAATTCAACATGTTGTGGCTGATTCCTCTTATACTGATGTTGATGACAACCAGGTTTTCTTAGAACAATTTGTGCGTGAACATGTTGGAGACTTGCTTGCTGTTCCGGTTGACAAAGATCCAAAAAGGAGAGTTCTGATGAATCGTCTTGGCTTCCTTCACCGCTTGCGTGAAGGATATGTTCATGATGACCGGTTCTACACACAGAAAAGACAATGTGACCTTGAAACTCTGGCCATGTACCGGCAACACATAGCCCACAAGTTTTTGCCCCAGAGGGTTGCTAGGCCCAAAGTTTTTGCTGCTGCAAACTGCCAGTATGCCTATCACACCTACAAGGGGAAATGTTTGTCGGGCTCAGGCGGCTTGTCTTGCCAAAAAGACCACGCGCATGAAAGAGAAATTGTTTCTGATTTCCACAACCCTTGTAAAAGGCATTTGAGACTTGTTTCACGCGCTGTAAGGCTTGTCAAAATGTTGAGTGGTGAACATACATGGACCTTGTGGAAGCAGAGTCGTTTGAAACCTGTCTTGCTTCATCGCGTTTCTCTCTTGAAAGGAGATTTGAGCTGTGTGCACTGCTGCCCGTGCGGTCAGAAAAAGGAAAACGAGTTGAGCTTGATAAAGATCGACGCGGCGCAATTTTTCAAAGCGGCTTCGCTGGAAAGAGGCCTTGCGCGAGTCCAGTCTTTGCTGCAGCGTGTTGAGGAAAAGGGTTATGACGCCGTGTCCGTCAGAAAATCTGCGAGGTGCGCAGGCCAACTCTGTAAAAGCACAAAATCCACGGACCAGGCTTCTCAAGTTGTTGCTTTTTCCACTATAAGAAATACTTTAAAGTTCATTTTGCATGATCGGTATTTTTCTGTTGGTTCTGTGGTCATGAGACGAAAAGGAGGTTGGCCAATGGGAGGATCTTTCAGTGAACCTGGAACACTTGTTGATCTCAACGAAGAGCTGCGAATCCTTGCAGAAGATAGCAACAAGATGTGCGAAATTGGTTGGCATTTCAAAAATTGGACATTGACTGATTTGGTTAGCGGCCTCATGCATGTTGACGATGCAATTGTATTCAGTCGAATATTTTGCTCTTGCTGTTTGGAAAGAGGCATGAAACAGTTGTGGCCTGAAGACGTTGGTATTTCCTTGGAAGAAACGGGGCCTACGGTGCGGATGCTTCAAAGTTACATCCACATCAGAGGGGTGTCTGTTCACATCCGACCGCACAATCCTAACGTTTCTTTTGCTCTAGGATTTGACCCTGTCCAGAAAATTGCTAGACTTGGCCCATACCTTGGTGAACCTTTCCATGCCTACCAGAATCTCTGTCAGTTCTTGCATGGAAAGTTGCTTGCGTACAACCATCTGGTTCAGGGAGATGCGGATTCCATGTTTGTGTACCTTGGCTTTCTGCTGCTTGAGATCGTAAGACTCAATTGGCCTGAGCGCTTTATTAGAAAAGCTTTGTGCAGTTTGCCGCGTAGACACGTTTCCCCATTCATCTCTGCTTGTCGGCGCACTGGAAGAAAGCTCAGGCACGGCCATGTTCATGAGATTTTCAATCGTGATTTTTTGGTCGAACAAGTTTCCGTTTCTCCTGTGGAGCGAGCTGTACATAGCGACATGTCCAAGCAATGGCGGCCCCCTCACCATGGAGGCCAGAATTGGCGAAACTGGAATGACCGTGGCAGGCAGAACCAGCCTTCTGACGTGAATGTGTCCCGTGAAGTTGTCGACTATGTGAGAGAAGAATCTAGGCGCAGAGCTGAGGAGAAGCAGGCTACTGAAATCCAAAAGCACACACAAGACACAATCATGAGAATGTTCGGAGTCGGTTCTTTGGATGCTACGTCCCAAGCCAGTTCCAGTGGCTCGGCAGACAAGTCGCAACCTTTTGAGATGCTCAAATGGGTTGCAGGACGCATTATGAAAAGGACATCTCGTGGTTCTGATTCAGAAGAGAAAAAAGAGAAGAAACGCAAAAGAAAGAAAACACGCTCGAGCTCTTCTACCAGTTCCTCTGAGAGTTCCTTGTGGGCCCAGGCAAAGAAGAAGCAAGAGAAAGACAAGAAGAAAGACAAGGACAAGAAGGACAAGAAGGAAAAACGAAAGAAAGAAGAGAAAACGAAGAGTACTCGTCCTCGGTCTTTGACGCCTGTGGCGGCCAGTCCCGAAGAAAAGAAGAATGATTTACCCAAAGAACGCCGCCAGGAGTTAGCCAAAGAGTTGAAGATCGAAGGAAAGCTCACCAGTGAACAGCTTGAAAGTGAGGATTGGAAATCAGACTTAGTGCATGCAGCCAAGAAAGAAGACATCCAGAAGTTGGCAGAACGCAATGGCCTGCAGAAGAGTGGCAGCAAGTATGAGATCGTTGAAAGGCTCGTGGCGTACATGCTTGGAAAGTGACACTTGGCTTCAGTGTAGATTTGAACAGAAAAACAAGTGCCTGTATGACAGACGCTGCGATGTCAAATTCTTACACACTACGCATGATGCGCTCACTTCAGATATCTGGATCAGTACTACAGCTGCCATTCCGGAAAGTCTTTGAAGTTTTGGACGTTTGTGCTATGATTTCCCTGATTCCCTTTGCCTTTCAAGCCGATCTGTGGGTATTGTGGCTGGAACGAATGGGGTGCAGAAAACCTGCGAGCTGGTGGATGGCAGTTGGCTTCACTGTGACAAGCAGTTTCTACGGATTTTTAGCCTTCTGCTGGGTTCCTCTCTCAGTGTTCAATCCTCTTGGATTGACTTTGTTCCAATCATTCCTCCCGCCCACAGAAAATTTTGAAATCATTGTGCGAATTGACACCCAAAGACCGCTTCAATTGTTATATGCTTTTGCGGTATGCTGCACCTGTGCAGTTTTTTGCCTTGCGACGCTTTTGTCGCTACTCTTTACAACATGTGCCAAAATTTGTATGACAGTGCCACTGTTCTCTTGGTGCACTGTGCTGTTCTTAATGCTGAAAGCTAGCAGTACAGAGGCTCAGCAGGGAGTGGGCGCTTAACCGCCACACCAGATTCACAAGATCTGGGAGCCTCTCACCTCACTCAGTTCTCTACGGGAGAAAAAAGGAAAGTTTTTTGGTGTTTTGCTGTGCTGTGAGCTGACAAGCGGTGCCCGACATTCTTTCCAGAGGTGAGTGCATACACGTGTCTAACATTGGTAGAAGCTCTAGGCTCTAAATCAAAGAGTCTGCATTACCAGGTTACCAGACTCAGATAATCTGTTTCACGCGGCCACCTGGGTTGGTCCGCCTGTTGATTTGTACGTCCAGACCTGAATGATACATATGATACGATGTCTCCCCATGAAGACGGTTTCCTCCAAGACCAGCAGAACATGACTGCTCAAGAATCCCGGAAAAGTCAGCCTCGCTAATCACGGAGGGTGGCTGACCGAGCCGGTCCATCTTCATCTAATAGAACCCCGACAGCTGCCCGACAGCTGTGGCACTTGGAGTCTTTAAGGATCTTCGATTTATCAAGGGGCTTTCTCCCCACTTGCGATGGCAGCATGGGCGCCTTCATGCCGCCAGTTCATCGGATTTGGCGTGCCTCTTCCGGCGAATACGTGTCCGCCCGTCCTCGTCCAACACCGGCGCTCGGCTCGGCACCGGTGCCGAAGCGAGACATCCACCGAAATCGGCCTGCATCACACAAGAATGGATCAACATCGCATGTTGGGCCGCTGGAAAGTCCAAGCCCACTCCAAGCCAACGACCGAAGCTGGTCACAGGAGTCTTCTCCGAATCGTTCCTCATTCCAAAGCATTCGAACGCAGCGCCTCTCACAAAACCGAAAAGAAATGAACGACCGAGTGGTGAACAAGGTGTATAGTATATAGTCACATAATCCTAGTCACACACACACACATATATATATATATACAGTGCCAGCATGGTTGAAAGGAGCACGCATTCATACGGTGGCCTTTTTTGATTCAAGTCACGCCACCAGCTCAGTTACAGCAAGCGTGCGTGTACAATGAACGGTTCATTGCTTCTTTTAGAAGCGAAGTGACACATGCGTCCACACCCGGGCTTCGCCCGGTCGCAAGATCGCAGAGACCATTGCGCGAAGAGCGCCCGGACGTAGAATCCAAAGTGCTGCACCCCTGCATGGCTTCACTCGGAAGCACGTTGGGCCACTAGCCAAGCAAGGTCCGCCACCGTCAGGCCTTGCGCCTTCTTCATCAGCCGGCTACGCCTCTTGACCTACAGGAAAGCTTTTCGTCACTGCGTGTCAGCAACCCTTTGGCCAAAAAAGCACAGTGGAAAACGGCTCCAAGGTTTGACCGGGCTTGATACCCAAGGCCTCTTGGCGCACTGTGCAATGTGGATTGACCTTCCAATGCTTCCTAGAAACGATGCACCCAGTCGGACACTGTGGCGCATATGCTACGGACGTCTCATCAAAGTTTAACCAGAGCAGCTTCCGATCTTTCTGTTTGTCGGCAATGTACGACAAACTTTGCCAGAAGGTCCAAGCCTGAGGCCCAAGATCGCGTGAGGCGAATGGTTGCTCAAATTGTGATTTTTGCGTCTGCGTACCGGTGCCAAAAGTGAATCCGCTTTCCGGCCTTACTTTTAGCACCAACGCATTAATGGGGCCTTTTTTGAAGGCCGCCAGATGGACTCATTTTTCAGACCAAAAAATTGCCCATCCCGGCCTTTTAACGTAGATCGGCAGGATCCACGCAGTCTCTAACACGGAGACGTCCGCGGCGGACAGATCATCGCTTCCGCCAGCGCATCACCCACTTTTGGATGCCTCACCTTGTCAATGGCTCGCCTGGAGCTGCGTGAGCCTGCCTCAATCTAAATTGCTCATAGACTTGCAAGGCTGCTGGAGCTGCGCCGTGCACAAGATTCTGTGTCTTCAGCCATGTGAAGACCCAGTGCTTTCTGCGCGAAGCGACAAGCCAGGGTCCATTGTACATTGCCTTCATCATGCACGCGCAGTAAGTGTCCCAGGTTGGCTTCACAAACAGACGTTGAATGCAACTTTCGGTGGGAGAATCTATACCATATCCAGCCGCACAGCCCTCTACCCGGGTTTGGCTAAAGACACACGATCAGAACGCATGCGGCAACCTAGCATGAGAGAAAAGCTCTTTGGCATAAGGCTTCCTTGCATATACCTAATCCTGTCCCTAGCGCAAATTTTTGTGCAGCATCACACATTCAAATTTCCAGTATGGCGCCGCTACCAACATTCCACTTTACAGTGGTATTTCTGGGTGAATTGACGTCAGTGGGGGGGTGGAAGAAGATTGGCACATAGCTAGCGTTGCCTTGACGCACACACACACACAACCGGGGCCCGAGAGTCTGAAGCTTCAAAAGGCCTGCGAACGCGGACTTGTTTTCTAGGCCGCCGATGCACCCGATTGTAGCATAACATATGCTTGTTCTTCCGAAACAATATAGAACACCAATCGCAGACCCCATGGAATCCCATTCCCGGTTTCAATTGCTCCTTCTTCTGTTCGGGTTGCTGGAAAAGGGAAAAGAGACTGGCTTTAATTGTCATAAGAATCATGTGGTGTGACCTGGTGCGAATTGACAGCCGCCTGCAATATGTTTCCTTTCTTCCTTCTCTTCCGTACACTTGCGGATGCCTCCGGCTACTTCTAATTTTCACGGAGACTCAGCCAATTACAAATTCTCAAGCCCACCTCCAGTCACAAGTTTTGAAGCTGTCTCTTTCTCAAGTACCAAGCTCCGTGATTGAACACTGACGTCCCCCGCACCCCCCATGAAAGCAATGTTGAAGGCGTGTTTTGGGGGTGGCCGCTTTGTTTCAGAACATCTGTAACAGTAACATTGATGACAAGGGGGTATGGGGTGTTGTACTGGAGATGTAAAACAGCAACCATACTAACATTGATTACAAGGGGGCATGGGGGGGTTGTAGTGAAGAAGTGTAACAGGAAAGATCCATGTGGCTTGTTTTGGGAAAAGACTGTTTTGAGAGTAGCCTATTGCATTGCCAGGTCTGGGGTGTCAACTCTTTCTCAGGAGGGTGGCTCGAAAGTGGTCACTGCATTCGCCATCGCCCAACAGCGACATAGCGGCTCGTGTGATTTTGCTGTTGATTCAAAGTCGGAGAACTCGCGTAAGAGGAGGATTTGGCGTTCGTCCTCTCATGGTGGGGGACAATTGTCTCAATGTCTTAAAAAGGTAAGGGTGTAGGCCAATTCCTAATGGTAGGGAGCAGAAGTCGCCAAAATAGGCCCAAGCCTTCCAAACACAAATCACAATGTGAGAGATGAAATAGGCCCAAGCATAGGACCAAGCGTTCGGGAACAATTCCTAATGGTAGGGCAGAAATAGGCCCAAGAAGTCTCTGAATTTTAACAGAGAAAAGTTAAAAGATAACTTATTTCAGAGAATCTTTGGGCCTATTTCATCACTGACATTGCGATTTGCCATCGGAAGGCTTGGGCCTATTTGGCCACTGCTTGGGCCTATTTTTATTCCTGCCATTGTGATTTGCATTCGGAAGGCATGGGCCTATTTTTCAATGTCCTGCGCCGATTTCATCCCTGCCATTGTGATTAGCACCCGGAAGGCTTCCGAAATGCTGCGGCGAAAAGGCGTGACTGCGACAGGGTACCAATTTCAAGGCCATGAAAACTATTAATTTCCAGCTTCCAAAGCATGTCCCCTCGCAGTATATATATATATGTCCTACCCGAAGGGTGCATGCTGCGTGACGCGTTTCCTTTTTCCAATGACCTTCTTAGTGGCCCTTGAAGGCGACCTTTTTAAAAACCACCTATACTATCGAAGTGACCTCATGCTGGGATCTCACAAGCCATGGGGGCTCACCAAGACCCCCAATTCCAGTCCCCAAACACGCTACTTCTTGGTGCAAGGTTCCCGTGCACGGACCGGGGCCCAGCGGCGACGAACATACGCCGCGGCGACGAACTCCCGAGGAAGGAGGCTCAGGAAGCCTTGAAAGACGAAGAACCGCCGAACGAGGAGCTGAAACGGGAAGCCTTGGAGCTCCTCGGTCCGAAGAAGCGCGGGGTCCTTGCTGTGGGAGGGGGCGGGGGAGGCCGGACGCCGCAGCCCCCTCCGCTTCATGGCTTTTTGGGATCGGCCGGAGTGCTTTCTCTTTGGATCGAACACTCACCCCGCGTGGCCGCGGACTCGTTCAAGGGGCTTCGCTCTGGTCGACCGACCGTGCGCAGGACTCGTCGTCGAAGGCGTCCGGGGTCAGGTCACTGCGACGAAAGCAGGGAATGAGGGTGGCTGGATGGGGGCGAAACTGCCCTTATTCCCTACGACGGCCCTACGAGTCGCACCAGTCAGAACAGGTCACTACCATCGATTTTCATGGGATTCGGTCGTTTTTTTCAGACCAGACACGGGGCAACAGAGACCTCTTCACCGAAAAAACAGGAGACCATTTGGACAATTCATGGTCGGGGTCGTTCATTGATTGATCCCTTCATCATTCGCTTCGGACCGCATCGGATCGGGATGTCAGGGCATGTCACGCTATATCTGGCTGTCGGAATCTGCCGGAATCTAGATGGGCAGGACCAACTACAGTGGTTTCAGAGTAGATAGCACTGCCATCCCAAAACTCCACTTGAAATAATAGTATAATGGACCTCTATTATCCTCTATTTGAAAGACATCTTGGGGTGGAACTGTATGCCATCCACTTCTTATAACACAACTGAATTGATACATATAACTTAACATAATCCCTAGGGCTCCTGGCCCATATCCTCAGGTTCGGTGGTCTTCGACGCCCCTGGCACCCAGGCCCAGTCCCAGCTTCGAAACGGGTTCTTGGAGTTGGAGCCCTATAGGGAATACTCAACTCCTCCTCATCTCTTCCCCACTCTTCATCCCCCAGTCCCATCTTCGATCCTCATCGCTACACGAGACCCTCGAGATCGTCGCGCCTCCACGACCCGCGCGCCTCGACGGGCCTTGTCAGTGAGGATCGCCCGGCGCTCGGCGCTGACCGACGAGGGTTTGAAGGACGCGCCGTGCCTCGGATGCCGCCGGGACCGGGACCCCCGGGGCACGGGAGGCGGAAGGACAAGGGAGGGGAAGGCGGAAGCGGGTGAGGTACAGATAGCACCCAGGAGTTGGAGGGGAAGGAGCTGGAGAAGTGGCTTTCCCACCTTTTTTTTTGAATATGGCAGAGCCCACAAGCTAAGATGGAGCAAGAATGCTTTTGACTGGGTTTCCCTCTTTTGGGGTCTTCTGAAGGCTGGTGAAGAACTGGGTCTTCCGACCATTGGCACCGGTCCGGCCCCCACTTGGATGGGTTTTGGGGGACCTCACATACAGGGCCTCCAGGGTACGTACCTTGACGCCTGCGCATGCGGCAGCTCGGCGGGATTGCGGGGGTCGGCTGGGGCGGGCTTGAGTTCGGCCGATTCGAGTCGGAGCCTGGCAGGTTGTCCACGAAAGGGCACGAACAAGCTGAAATTACTGCATCCTGGCAAAGCAACAATCTCAGTGAGACGTGTCAGGAAGCACAGTCGGAAAATGGATCCATATCAGCTATAGCATACATTGGCCAGAAACATGTGTACCAGCTACATCCAAGGGGTCTTCAATAGACTACCTCGTAGACTCTGGCGCCAGCATCAGACACCACAGGATATGACAGGATGCTCCTGTGTCCTAACTCTATTGTGCCTTTCGGTCCCCTCTGGTTCCCACCACCGTTTCGAAGATGGGACTGGAGTGGGTGGGTTTGGGGGTCGAAGACCACCGAACCTGAGGAGATGGGCCAGGAACCCTAGGGTGTATAGGAAGACCATGTCGTTCCGAACATGGAGCTAGAGTCAGCTAGAGCTAAATCAATAGTATGCCCTTTTCGGGCTGCAAACACCACCGTTGGGGTGCAGGCAGGAGGTCTTCCACAGACTTCGTTTTGAGAGCAAGCAGACCAGCACGATGCACCACTCTCCTTTTCGCCTTGGCGACTGTGAGAAGTCGTACCTCTACCTCACTTCCTTGTCCTTGATATCTGCTTCTTCCGATGGATGCGGCCGGTACTGCTTTCACAGCTTCTTCAGTTCAACTTTAAGACCAGCATGAACAAGTTGAAAGGGACCGGCATGAAGGACGCGTCCTCCACTCACCGGGGGGGATGGCAATGGACATTGAGGACGTGAGGACATGATGTCGTTTACGGGACAGTTTACTCGTAGCCGGTCAGCACGAAACTGAAACCCGCTGAATTGGGCTCCTTCCTTCCCTGAATCTCAACGTGTGTTTCTCGCAGGGACTGCGTGCTAGTTGTGTGTGGGAGGAGGAGGCGAGCGGAGGCGGCGGCGAATGCGCGGCGGGTTGCGCACGTGGAGTTGAGGCAGCCAACGTGTCCAAGATCATCCGGGAAGAGGAGCTCAAGGCGCCCGAGGCCGTCTTCGTTTCACCCCTCCAGCGGGCTCTACAGACCGCTGCACGCATGCTGCTTGGCTCCATCACTCCTGGAAACCCCCCCCAAGAAGCCGGTTTCCTGCCACACTTTCCCTAGAACCAACCAGCAGAGGTTGAAGAACCCTAGTTCGGCTATCCGGTACCCCAGGTTTTCCGGGTCCTAGTTCAGGTCACTGGCTACCTCTGTTGGAATGCGGAGCGTTGGCTCCCAGGTCTGGAGAGGCACTGGGAGTTGGCTCCAAGGGCTGGTCATTAATGATCTGGGGGGGGGAACTCCCCATGGGCCGACGCTCTTCCCATGGGCCGACGCTTACCCTCCCTGCGATTGAACAACCTCCTCAGATCGACGGGTGTTGATCAATCAGGAGTCGACCTTCTTTCGTTGATCAGACATGCTTGAAGGGCATTCGCCTGCTTATTCGCACAAATCACAGGCAGCACCTTGAGAAGTGACATGGGCAACCAGTGAAGAGCTTGATGAGACCTGGCGAGAAAGTTCTCATCCGCTCCCTTCGTCTTCCAACGTTGAACACAGGCGCGCACACACACACAACAAGGGGTCAGAAGAAGAAGAAGAAGAAGAAGAAGAAGAAGAGTCAGAAGAAGAAGAAGGAGAAGAAGACGAAGACCATCCTCCGGTACATACCAGCACACTTGGCCTCAAAGACCACCTGCACCCCCTCAAAACAGGGTCATGAAGGAAGGACCTGAGTGCCACTGCATGGTGCATGAACTACCCATCCTGCTGGTGGGGTTTGCTCCTCGTACCATCTTCTCCCCCTCGGCGGTGCCCAGTTCTCCGCAGCGGCCTGAACTCGGGCGAACGAGCACGGTGAGGTTTCCAGAGCATCAAGAAGTCCATGTTTGCGATCTCTTGCGTGAGAGGTGTACCGGCTTCCCCTGCGACGAGAGGAGACACGAGCGGAGAGGGGAGAGTTCTCCCCCAAACCGTTTCAGGGTGTGAGGCTGGAGCTGTCGGGATTCAAGTCTGTAGAGAGTGGACGGTAACCATACAACAGGAGTGGACCCCTGTTTGGGTCACCCTTAAGGCTTGATTCCAGAAATCATTAAACGCAAGTAGTTGTGGCTGGCGCTCCTGTGAAGACTGCAACAGGGCCCATGAAGGGAATATGGACCTGTCCTGTTTAGAAAGGCATTGAGGAAATATGAGGAAAATTCAGAAACACCTGCATACTTGCCATGACTTGCCTATAAATCACGCACCACAACCACTTTGGGCTCTGACCGCAGTCCGAACTGAACTCCACCCGCGCCGGGTGCCGCGCAGGAGCGAAGTCCCGTCCCTGCGGAGCCGGAAGTCCTTCCGCCATATGCGCCTGGGCGGGTCGTGGGGGTCGTGGGGGTCGGGGGGGTGCCACGTGAACGCGCGTTTGGCCGTGCATCGCCACGTGCCACGTGCTGGCTTGGCGGGAAAAGGATGGTGCGCCCATATAGGGTGGTATCATGTGGTATCCTTTGATCAAGAATTTGCGATAGATTACGTGAAGCAAGCCAGGTAAAAAGTTGAAATGGCTTGCCATTTCCCGAGCAAGGTTCTCCACCCCGATTGCCACCTTTTTTGAAGAGGCTCTGTTAGAGTCCGGGAGATGTCTTTATTGCCGCATGAAAAACAAGAAGAAGGCAGAAGAAGCAGCCGAGTTTCACCCATCCTCTTCACCACCGTCGCTTCGGCGGGACCCCCGTCGTTTACATGGGGGGTTCCATGTCATGCCACGAAAAAGGACACCCAGACACGACCTGTCTGGGACTGCCAGTCCGGACTGCCGAGAAGCGGCCAGGGGTGGTTGGGGTCGACCTCTGGGGCGGCAGCCCGTCCCGTCGGCAGTCCTGTCTGGGAAACGATCGTTTTCAGCTCGGCCGTCAGAGCGGAGGAGCTTCGACCAAGTGATCCCAGATGATGACGAGATTGTGAATCTCGAGGACGAGGAGGTGGGGCGCAGGTGACGAGGACTGGACTGGTGCAGGTGACCAGTGACTGGATGGCGACACCTGCTGGGGGTTTGGACCAGCGAAATTGGCACCCCCAACACCTCCAGCTGCAGCGGCGAGACGGTGACCACCTGTCCGAAGGTCGACCGTGGGGGTGGGGGGTCGCGTGTCCACCTGGCTGCATACCGTTGATGGGTGCCACCAGGTCATGGATGAGCCGCCGGTCTTCCGCCGCTTTCACACGTGGCCTTTGATTGAAGAGAAGTGGCTCGGATAGCTCGGCGGAGGCGCCCTCAAAGCTCCATCAACTCGCCCCACCCATTCTTGTTGAGTCAGGGCAGGGTCCTATGTATAGAAAGTGTGACCTGCGTGCACGTGTTTTTAGAATCTTTTAAAGATGACCTCAGTGCCTATAGCTTTCAGGTAACCTGAACATCCTGAACATCTATAGTCAGAAGGTGTGGGCACGAGCATCTACAGCGGAGCTCTGTGCGCAATTCAATTATTCTATCGATTCCATGGAGGTGCACCCCAAACGAAGCCATCTTCAGAAATCTTCAGAACTAGCGCCCTCCACTCCGCCTTCCGAACGATGTTTTTCTCGGTAGGGAATTTTTTGGCCTCGGACGACTTGGGTCAGCTGGCAGAAACGGCACGAACAATTGAAGAAGTTTACTCCATGGACAGCCGGAACACACCGAGCCTTTTGAAATCTTCAGCCGTTCGCGGTCACTCGTGTTTCAGGTCCAGAATTGGCCTTTCCAACCTGTGTTTCTTCCCAAAAGCTTGCGGGATTCGAACAACTTGGTCTCGCATCCTTCTGCCGTTGATGTCCTCGCGAACGGTCCACATGTTGGATGGAGCTCGGGCGGGCTACAGCCATCCAGTCGCTTGAAAAGGGGCTTCTTTTGTCCGCAAGAAGGCTTTGCAAGCTTTGCAGTTTGGACAAGCACATGCTCATGCATTCGTCATGCCCCGTTCCAAATTCCAAGTGGCTTCCACTTGTGGCAAAAGGGACGCAGGGGCCCTGCCCTGTGTCGGGGTGATTTCGGTTCAACTACCTTCCAACATAGTAGGACCGGGGTCCAAACCAACACCGCCGTCCAAACAGAAACGCCGTCCATTGAGGTTCATGCTGCGCCAGCGCACCGCGGGTTTGGGGCTGGGGTCGCCTAGACACGGGGGCAAGCACGGGGTGGTACTTTGGAGACCCTAAGCTTCCCCGCGGGTGGAAGAGGGCCACAGACCATGCACGATTTTTCAAAAGCAAGGAGACTTTAGACGGTATATACTTAAGAGGAACAAGATTCCAGTGGACTCCCCTAAGGGAGGTGGCCGAAAGTTCCCTATAGTGGAAGATGTGAGTTACATAGTTTTACTACCACACAGTTAGTACATGTTAGTACTATACTGACTTTGCGCCAATCAGAGCCACTTTTCCAATTCTTTGTCATGGAGAAAAGGACCCCCAAAAGAATTCAGTATTTGGCTTGGTGAAAAGTCAATACCACTCACCAGTCATTTTATGGAACTTCCAACTTCTTGCAACCTTGGCTTGAAACAGATCCCATCCTGGTAGCCCCTCCCTAGGCGGCTTCTACAGACTACGGAGGCCGAAAGCGTGTGCATCCTGGTGGGATGCATGCCGGGGCATTGGAACGAACCGGAGAAGCTGGAGTTTCTGGTTTATTCCTTATATATACACGCAACATCATATGTTTCGGAATTGATGGATTGTTTGAGTCGAGTTGGTTTCGGGGAACCCCTTGGTAAATGTTCTGAATACATTTGCGGGCGGAGGGCTGAAGAGGGTGGGCGTTTCCTCATGGCAGACTCCAAGCAACTAGACTTCGCAGAGAGGAATTCGTATACTCGTTTTGGTCAACGTGCTAGGAAGTGTGGGAATATCTAGCCGGGGTGAGGCTGCATTCCAACACCCTCCTCGTGGTCTCGTGATGGCCGCAATTCGCCGCACGCACTTCCTGACCAGTCACCTTGCATTCGACTATATTCGACTCCCCGTTTTGCTTTGACCAGTTAGGCACTTGGCGAACACACACGCACACACACACACACACACCCGAGCAGAGAAAGAAAATCAGGAAAGAAAGCAAGAAAGAAGGACAAGAAAAGAGCAGATAAGACCAGAAAGAAGGACATAAATTAAAAGAAAACACCAGAAAGAACACAGAGAAAAAGAATCAAAAGAGAAAGGAAACAAAAACCAGATGGTTGCCTACATCAACTTGCTCCATCAACTTACCTAGGCATCGTGACCCACAAGGGCTTTCTGCGGGAGCTGGAGCGCGGACCGCTGGGCCGAACGGAAGCCAGTGAATTTGGCGCCTCGGACGGAGCACTGCGCCGCAGGTGAGAGCAAAGCGACGTGTGGAGACGTGTCCAGGACCCGTCGGACCGGTCACCAGGGCTACGCTACCTAGACCTGCTAAACCTTAGTTGTCCACCGTCCATGGGTTGTCCATGGAGCCTCAATTGTTGTCTTTTGGTATGCAAGGACGAGAATTGTTGTCCGGGATGTGTTTGACCGTAATCCCTGAACTTGGTCTATTTCACAACACTCAAATAACTCAAAAATATCAATAGTGTTCAGGCTTTGGACGTGAAAAACCGTTCAGGCTTTTAAACGGACGTGAATTCACAAGATGGACGTATATAAATGTTGCAAGAATTTGTAAAAAAACTATTTTTTAGCATCCTGGACTGGAATTGGTATCTATCCAGGGTAGCAGGTAGGATAGGGAGGGGTATTTTTTTGATTTTGTTCCAAGAGGTTAAGTGACCGTAAATAGGACCCGTCACCTGGGGTACCTATAGGGTAGTCGAACTAGGGTTCTGACCCACCTCTGCTGGGAATATGATCGTGTGATCCGAAACGAGTCTGACACACCAGCAGTCACCGCTGGTCCTCCGTGAACACGAGACATTCTCTCAAAGAGTTCGAAGCTTTGGGGGTGCCAAAAAGGACCCGTTCTTCACGCGTCAGCCTGCCCGAAGATGGCCACCCCAAAACAGAGGTCACTCAGGTTCAATTGGTCACTTCTCAGCCGTTGAGTCGCCTTCCCGTTTTCCAGAGCTGAGCATCGGCGGTGGGGTGTCCGTGAGGAGAGGCGGTCACTGACCCCCACTGAGAAGAGCAGAACATGTGGGAAAGCCAGGAAAACACTTTTTCCGAAGAACCGTAGGGACATGCTTTGGCCAGTCGTGGAGGATGGCCCTGAAGGAAAACACCATCACCCGACTCATGACTCATGAGCCCCCGATCTCAGATGCTTCAGCTGGTGGTGCTATGGCTCTCTTGAAAAAAGGAAGACGCTCCAAATTCTCAGCATCGGATCCCTGGAAGTCAGTCACTCTCCCCCTCCCCCACTTACTTGCTCCGGGTCCGGCGCCGACCGCACTTGGTCCGCAGCGCCATGGCACCGACCGCGCGGACACCCGCGGACCGCGTGAGGCAATTGCGAGGTCCGTGTCTACGAGGTCTGCGTGAGCGACGGTGCCACTCGGGACCTCGGGAGAGGCGAGACCGTAGTGGAGGACTCCATACGAGGGCCCAAGAATAGCCCCCTTAGAGGTTACTGGATGTCGATTGACTTGTAAGGGGACATATATTGGGGGGGGCTGCAATTGGCTGGAGAAGGGTGGCGTCGGGTTGGTGCAAGGGTGTCTAACCCCAAAATACCGGCGGCCGGCGGCTTGTTGGAGGGGCTCCCAAGTCCGCATCTTTGACCATCCAGTTGAGTAAAGTGGCCTCCAAACAGTTCTGAACTCCCAAAGTTCTGCTCTCCAACTCCTGAAGTTCTACAGCTCTTGGAAAGGCTCGAGCCAGAAAAACCACCAAGACAATGGGGTCCTGCCCACCCTTCAGGCCCTTTCTCGCCCGTCGCGGTGGTCCCGACCATCCCGGACCTAAGGAGATCTTGCAGGCCGACTTGATGCGAGCCTTGGGAGCGGGACAACGCGACTGGACGGGCCCAGCGGCTGGAGCGGGTGCCAGGCCAAGTCTTGGGAGGTCTGGGCTGGACCGGGGCCAGGCCAGGCCACTTCCAGGTGAGTTCGGACGCTTTTTTGGGGTGCTCTAATTACCAGGACCCCCAGGAGTTAGGTGGTGAATGGTCACCCCAAATCACAGCTACGGGCTATAAATAGACACCCCAACAGGAGGGTCCTGGTAGAGATATATATCTGGTTTGGACCGTGGACGTGGTCTGGACGCACCTAGAGGGAGGGTCGCAGGAATTGTGCCACATTATGCCATGCGGTTTCACTGGTTCTTGAAGAGTCCGGTTTATTTGATGTGAGGGGTTCTCCCCCACGAAAGGCCAGAAACACTTGTTGGAGGCTTGTTTGACATGTGTTTTTGCGAATGAGCGTTTTGTCCCACTTTGTATGCAGTTTCTAGGGGAATTATGGCTTTCCTGGTGAGATGGTTTGAAGTACCATCCCCGCAACGGGAAACTCAACGCCTGTGGCAGCTGGACCTGGGTTGTTTTCATTGTCAGGACTCGCTAGTGAGCTAGTGTTGATTCAGGTGACACCTGTGAGATGTTTTAGCATCTGAAAGGGATAGGCACTCTAGGCACTCTATAGGCAAGCCAGCTTTTGGGGGGGTCTTCTCCGTGTCACCTTGCCAAGGAGCCCTCTAATTGGCGCGCAAGAGCCGCCAAAGCTGCAATTTGCCCGCGGCCAGAGCCCGCGCCGGCAGTTTGTTCGGCCGGTGTGGGAGGGACAATTCCTTGCCGCGAGCATCCAATTTGTCAGACCACAGGGCTCAACGCATTGAGCGATTTTTTGGTTGAATTTTGGGCGGGATCACGGACTGAGCAAATCGCCACGTGGTGTGAAACTTCGAATGATGCGTGACCAGAAAAGCACGTGAGTTGACCGAGTCAGCCCGGCATTCTTGTGGGAAGGGAACTTGCAGTTGACTTGGGTGACCTTCCAGACTTGCGGGTTCTAAAGCATGTCACCCCCAAATGTGTGGAAGTCCAAAATATGTGTCCTTGAGCATGGCATGCGGGGTCCTTTGCATGCCATGATGGCTGACATGGGTCTGTCAGGGCGTCACGATTTGATTCAAGCCTAGGGGTCGGACACCTGGGGCACAGGTCAGGTGACTCCCGCCCGCCCCCGACTTCATCAGAGGGCCCCAAAACCCCCAACCAGTGACCCATGGAGGGGGGTTCGCTCCCCAACTCCCAACTCGACCTCTTTCTGCTCAGTCCCTCGGACGCAAAGGTGTCATTCCCCGCTTAGCACGCAGTTTCGTCATTTTCTCACTTGATTCGTTCTTATGGAGCACAGCCGTAGCGGCATAGTCTACCGGACTCCGGTTTGGAGTCCGGTCGACTCTGAAGAACCCCCGCAAGACATGGATTGTAAAAGATGGTAAAACCATAGTGAACCTCTTGATTTGGGGAGGTTTTGTTTTCCCAAACTTCTTTTTTTCTTCATGCGAGGTGGGCCAGAAGCTGTAAAACCACACACGGCTCATCACGGCTCCTTTAAGGCTGACTGGTGTTCTAAAATGTTTCGCCAAGAGACATCCCTCGTCCGTGTGATCTCCTGGAATTGGCTGGCAGCGTTGGACCATCACCCAGGTTGTTACGAATCCAGATGGGTTCCATGTAGGAAGGGCCTGTGGTCACGTCATGTCACGTCATGTATTCACATGTATTCTGGGTCTGTCCCAGTACTTGGAACTGTCGGCTAACAATCAGATCACCATTTGAATCCATTTTAAAGAAAGGCCTTTACTAAGCATGAAACCCACTGGGCCCCGGTCATATTCGGTCATTCATGGTATGGTGATATGCATCCACTGGGCCCTGATCGTAGTTCGGATCCTAGTCACCGCGCCATTCAGTCTGAGGTGGTCGGGGGGTCCTCGCGATACGACGCGATGGTTCTTGATGGCCTGGGCTGGTTGATGAACAAAGGGGGATCTGAAGTGTACAACCAATAGGTATACTATACCCGGCATCCACCCTCTATGATTTCCAAGTACGGACCTCAGGGTTCCAGGTAATTAGATCAATCTCATTAAGCCAAGTGCCACAAGATTCCCTAGTCCAGCTGTACCAATGACCAGGCGGTCGACGGGCGGCCTGAGAACATGTGAAGTCCAGATTTTCTAAGAAGGAATTTCAGGTAACACCACGGACCAGAGCGGTTGTTCTGCGTCCAAGTAGATCTACACTGATCTACACCACCATTATTTGGAGTTAAACCTGGACATATGTGGCTGGAAGTATGGTACGGACCTTTATACGATATATTAATTGTTATACGATTAAATTAACTATACTTAGGAGGAGGTTTAAGCTTCTTCCCTTGCTGGAACAGATCAGAACCAACATCTTGAGTGAACCCAATCCATCTCCGAATTCTTACAGGAAGTGGTGGTGGTCCAGGATGTAAAAAATCAGAGCCAGCCTGACTCTCTCTCCCCTGAGCATGGCGGTCGTCGACCACCGGACTAAAATACAAAGCGTGGTCGAACATGTGCCATGCCAAATCCGTCCATTGCTGCACAACAAGCCTGCAAGCAATGGATTTTAATGATTCTGCCACCCAGCCTTGGGCCCCGACCATGTTGAGCAAGTGTTTTCCATGGAACAGTTACGGAACGGGTGGATGAGAAAGTGCTTGGATCAGGTTCGTACGGAAGGGGTGCCTGGTTTGGGTGAATGATCTGTAATCTGTCTGCAGATTTTGCATGAGATCCTGTGGAGCTCGCGATTCGACAAGAGATCGACCATCCGACCCCGATTTCCTGATCCAACCCCGGGATCACAAGCAGAGCAGCGGCTGAAGCGATTGGGGTGTGTGTACCCCGAAAACCCAAATCCTTAGGACGACTTGGACACTTGGAACATTTTAGTTGGTGTATTTCTCAAGTAGACCTCCTACTCGGCTTCGGTCGTTTGGGAGCAGTCATGAAAAACCGGCGTGTGTGCGTCTCGTCGGATCCGACGCCGGGTCGGATCGCGACCGGATCGGCGGGATGGGGTGTACGGGTGTACGAAGGTATTTTCGACCTGATCCTTCATGAGAGTCATTACTTCCTGCTGACCAACATGGACTGTGAAAATGAACCCCTGTAGGACTCATCTCATCTACCAGTTTTCAGCGTTGTGGTCGAAATGTGGGTACGGGCAATGCTTCAACATCAGGTCATCTAGTGTGTATGTCTTCTTCGGGTGTCCCAACCCATGGATTTTCGGGTGTCCCAACCCAAGAAGCGAAGAGCGCCATGGCATCGCTGGACCCACGAGCTCCTCGGGTTACCCCGGTCTCCCCCCCAACCGCGGCGGCCAGATGGTTCGGTCGGGCACCGATCCGGAGCCCGGGACCCGCGGGTTGAGCAGGGGCGTTCTCGCTGTCCGTGCTGAGCATGAGGGTGCAGGCGGCTTCAGCCTAGAAATGCCTAGAAATGCCTAGAAGATGGATGAAAAAGGGGATCACCCAGGAGTGACATGTCGCCTCAGGTGTGGTGTACGTCTCGTCCCGTTTTACGAGACCGTGAGTGGATGGTGAGTCTGGACATGTGACTGGTGGAGTCGGCTGATGGGCACTAGAACAACCAGAAACAACATGAGACTGCCATACCAAGAGAGGTTGAAGGACCTCATAGACTATCCCATAGGTACCCCAGAATGGTTCTAGTTCAGGTCACTTACTGTAACCTCTCTTGGTATATGCCTACATTAGGGTAGTTTGGGGGGTCAATGTAGGCATATATGGCAGTCCCATGGAGTGTCTGGGATAGTGTTTCCAATTATATAGGCCATTGAGATCCTTTACATAGGAAATGGCTACGGTAGGACTGGGGAAACATCCATGTCTTTCTGGTTGGGGCTGGCTTTTCAGGTGGGATGACCTCTTTGGAGCAGGTTTCTGACCGCAACAATCGGATCAGATTGAGTGGGGAAAAAGCCCTTGAACATCTTGTATTACCTTTTCTTCCCGGAACTTGCCCGGCATGGATGGGAGATCATTTCTCTTCAGGTCAACAACAAATGTCCAGCAACATTGACCCATATAATTATACTTATAGCAACAGCACCACCTAAGAGCACTCAGAAGTGTCTGACGAAAATCACCCGAAGTTCCCCCAAGACTCCACGTGTTGGGTGACCGTTTAGGACTGTTCGGGAACTCTCTCGGTCGGGAACGTCCAGCTAGCTGGAGATCCGCCGCGTTCGCAGCGGCGAACAGCGGGCAGGGCTCCAAAAGTTAGAAGTGCCTCAGGTCGCCGTAGCTTGCTTCACACCAAGAGAGGTTTGAGAGAACCTTTTTGATCCCCATACCGCGGGATCCCCAAAAAACACGAGCGTTCCTCAGCATCTTCCGAACCAGCATCTATCGGGTATGGAGCCAGGCCACCAATCACTCCGGTGGGATGAAAAAGCAATCATCCAATCACCAGAATCAGTGGCTGGGCCCATGGAGCCACTGGCGGTCACAAATGGATCGCCCGAACCCTTTGTGGCGGTTTGGCATACTTTGAAAGGCTTATTGACCTATACCAGAACATTCTAAGGGGCTTCTATTGATAGCCCCTTAGATGTAGCCTATATATGAACGACGTACATATAGACGACAAAGGTGCAGACTGAATTGCTGCCAGAAAGACTGAGGGACGGGGGGGCTTGAAGCTTTTGGTCGCTGCATGACGGGAATTGGGTGTGGCTCCTGTCCAGCAACGACATGACATGTCCTAGCCAGTCAGTGGATAACCTTTCTAAAACCTTTTTGTGGGGGTTGATTTCCCCAATAGACACCTCAGCAGGTGTCCAAAAGGCTGGTATTTTCCAGGGAGACGGCTCCAAGGTCAGATCTTTGGTTTGACGACTTCAGTGAAGCAAGACTTCGGTGGTGCTTGGCACAGCTCTGGTGCCTCAGCATCAACATTTTACAGACCGACGGGTGCGGTAGACAGCAGTGCCTGAGCAGATGAGCGCAGAGGGCTCCAGAGGAAGTGAATCAGATGCCAGGAGCTTCTTGGCCTGGAGCATTTTGAGGGAGCCCTCAGCAAAACCCCAACCTGAGAGAAGAAAACCAGCCCCAGCCCCACGCTTTGAGGGGGGCTTCGATGTATGAATTTCGTTCCAGGGCGGTTCGAACTTGACTGACCATCTAGCACCGTGCGACCGACGGCGGACCGTTTGAAGCGACCAACGAGTGGGCTGAGCCGAGATGTCTTTCGCCGGGGGATTTGTGACATGTTTGCGGACGGAACTGCGCATGGATGTACAGTTACCGCACAGTTTCTTGACCAGGAGTCACATGTCGCGGTGGTTTTTAGATGTTTTTAGTTCCATCCAGTGAGTGGATAGTGGGCACCCCTATCCTCCAAGTTCGGCACCCCGTCGAACGTGACTCCTGGTGGATGGCTGTGCAGTTTCGTGGGGATTGGTGTACCTGGACCTTCAAGGGGTGTCCAATGGAGGTCCCTTAGTAGTGTAGGGGCTTCCATTGGTGACCCCTTTGAAGGTGCTGGTAAGTAATTACACGCACGTAAGTGCACAGCGTAGAACTGAACGGCGAGCAGCAATCCCTCCCCTTGCAGAGTGCTCAGACTTTGACGAGTGCCCCAAAGACTCTGCCTATAGTAGACCAACGGTTCCCCAAATGAATGAATATAAATCTATATTATGGCATATGGGGGACACTTGGTCTAACCAGCTTGTGAATTGTGGACCAAGTGATAGATGAACGAATGTGAAGTGGTTGGCTGCGTGGTTGGCTAGAAGCCTGGACCAGGCATTCGGGAGTTTAGCAAGGATCTGCGGATTCCAAACGGATTCCTGACTCATCCCAGTCAGACAACCAAAAACACACCGCTACGTTAGGTGGGTAACCTACACGCAGAAAGACACGCAGAAAGACGCACACCTTACGCCACGCTGCACACCACCTGCCCATGGGGGCGCACCTCCGGCTCGACCAAAGTACCTCGGCTCGACCGAAGCTCGTCGGCGACGCAGCGAAGTTCCGCTGGTGACACGCGGTTTTCGAACGAGGACCCGTGGGCTCACAGGGACCTCTATGCCTGTTCGTGTGATGCAATGACGTGCGCAGATATGATCAGAGGACTGATCAGAGGTGCATATATGTTTCAAATAAATAAACAAAAATATTTTAAACAATAACTATTATAAGATACCTATGTCGATGATTGTAACCGCATGTGTGTATGTTTTAAATTTGCTGAAGTGGTTTCGTATAGTCTTAGATTCCATAAATTACATACTGTAACGCATTGTGTTTTATATTCTTAAAGACCTGATTGATATTCACATCGCGAGCACAACCTGGCTTCACCACCCGCATGTGCGATGAAACAGTTTGAACCACGTCAGGCAGAGAGGAGCCGATTTAAATCGGACCGGTGAGGCACTTCAAGCCTTCACAGTCACGGAGGCAAGATGCCTGGGTTCTTGGCCGCTCAGGATGGGGCGGTGAACAATCGGATGGGGTTTCTTCCGGCCGTATTTCTGAAAAAACGGCGTCAGATGGGCAATGGGGTGTCAAATCCAGGTGGCCCCAGGAGAAACATTGGGGCGACCGCCATAGATGGACAAGAGGACCAGAGGACCATGGCTTTTCGGCGGTTGATTCATACACTCGAAAGTCATCAAAGGTATCATGATTGGATCTCAAGAGTTTGCGACACAGTATGAGAGGCCATGGTCAGAAGTCATGCGCACTGGCACCTCGTCTGAAGGCATCAGAAGCATGCGATGGGACGCTGAAATGAGGCACTAGCCCAGCAGGTGGTGCTTGCTCGGATTGAGTGAAGGCACTCACTGTGCTGGCGAAGATCAATCCTTTACAACCTTTACAACTCTGAGCGCCTGGTTTCCGGCCAACGTGGGGTGGATGATGTGGATGACATGGGACAGGGGGATGACAGGGGTTAACATCAACCGACTTTCAAGTATGGCATGGAGCAGAGGCGTTGCATCCCATTGCAATTCCAATTTTGAAGCATTTTGAGAAGCAACGCCGTCGCCCAGAAAACTCTGCCCACAGCAATCCTATCGCGCCAATCATTGGAGATAGAATGCTCGGTATAGGGCTCACTTTCTGGTTCCCAGTTCGGCCGCAGGGGTCTCATCTGGTCTCCAGACCGAAAAGCAGCTCGCGACCTGGCGACACTTGCGACCCCACGAGAGGAGTCTGGGTGCCAGTTTCTGAGCCTCGTACCATCTGGTCGAGGCCCAATTTTGTCGATGCGCCCAATTTGAAGGGACGTGCATCGATCTCCGAGCCACGTGCGGAAGCGGAACCACCGTGACGCGCGCGCAGGGGTTCGCCATGAGGGATCGCCGGGCCCGGCGGGGAGGACCGCGGCGCGCGAGATTCGGCGCGCCTCGATGAACAGATCCGGCGTTAGGATCCGTCGGACCGATCGGGGGTTTATCCTGCGGATGAGGTGCCTACATCGTGCAGACAGGGCGGGTTTGGTGTAGGTCACCGTCAGCCAGATGTGTAAATGTACAATCCTTCGTTGTATGCCGTACACCACCCTCCGATAGGTCACCAAGTGAGACCTGTTAGTGCACAAGCCTCAAACCAAAGACCCGGTAGTGAGCATTTTTGATTACACTATCGTTGACGAGTCTTGATGCCACCAGCACAAGCATTTACCTCAGACCATCTTGATGTCTCCTTGGGAAAGGCCCCAGTGGAAACGACGGAAAAAGCAGCAGCGACTACTTTGGTCCCGACAGCAGCGGCGACCGCGGGGGGGGGGGCGCGAGCTTGGACGGTTGAATCGTGTCCGGCCATGCCCGATTCTTGCGCCGGTGCCAAGAAAGGCTCGAAAGGGGATGGGGATTATAGATATAGGCATACCCAGGAAGTACGCGGATCGACAAGCCGAGCTTTTGGACGGGGTGGCGCACCCCCACCAATGGACACTTTGCAGGGAGGAGAGGGACCTGGTGACATGCTGCTTTAGTTTTCAAGGATTTCCCGCCTAAAGGGAGCGAGTAAAGGGAGCCAACATGAGCCAACCTACGTTCAGATCGGGTTCGGAATAGCCCACCGGTTCGGTATTTGAGGGTTGGGAGGATCCTTGCAAGCTGCAACATGCTGCAACTGGGTGTGGACCAGTTCCGTTCACACCCCCTTTTTCGCGTGGTCATCGGACCTCTTCATCCCCGAACCTGTTCAGCCTCTTTACGGCACACCTTGAGATCAGAACCTCCGCGTCTTTTTCTTCCTGCGCGCTGTGAGGGCCTCCGTGTGTGCACCCGAAAAAGGGTTGGTGCGGGACGCACGAGGTGTGGTTCTTTGATTCAACTTCGCCGTTGTTCCGCCTGCGGCAGAACTGTGGGGCAGTTTGGATCCGGAAGTCTTCTAGGGAGGACCAGCTCTGAGCAAGTGGCACCACAGTAGTTCTAATAAATCTGGTTTCAGAGTAGACGGTACAATCCCAAAAGGTATCCAAAAGGTGGTTGATATGGACCCCGTGCAAAAGACATCTTTGGGTGCAAGTGCCACCTACTCCTGGCATCCCACTTTATGGTGGAGACCATCGAAGCAAAGGCAACAGAAGGTGGTGGTGAGGAGTCGCCGAAAAAGGAGCCCCAGCCATGCAAGAGCTGAATCGTGAGCTGCATGGATCCCGGATCTTTTCGAAGTGTGTTTGTTGGTTCTTTTCCGAATTTGTCTGTTGAGATTTTCGGATAGATGTCATACAAAGTGGAACATTTTCCCGACCTTCTCATGGAAGGAGTAGCTGGTTTGCGGCACGGGTGCGAGTGCTGAAGAGAGGTGGCCAAGAGAAGCATCAGAGCTGACACCCCTTGAGTTTGTACATGCTGCCCACGCCACGTTCAGCCTTGGAGTCGGGTCTTGGGCAGTGAGTGGCTGAATTCTTGAGGCGATCCAGATGGAACTTGTAAGCAAGTGATCCCTGCATACAGGTAGGGGCAGCATCCATGTGGCTGCATTCCCCCAGTTTCAGGCCACATGGCTATAGAAGAATATGTGGCCGGCATACGGCCCCACTTAGGGGGGTCTATGAGAGGAATTCGTGCCCACCTACGGCCCACATGATGGAGAATCTCCGGCACCCTTCCGAGGTCACATGATCAGGTCCACCCACACAGAGCTATGGGATCCCCGGCTGCCAGTCGGGAGCATGTGAATCCCCATCCCTGCGGCCATTGGGACAGGTGGCCGCAGGTGGCTTGGCTCACCAAAGTTTCCAAAGCGAAAGAAGCTGCACCCAAGGGGCTCCCCGGCTGAAACGTTGGGCTGAAGCTGGTGCTTGGGCACCAGCTCACAGATGTAGCAACGCTCCCGGCCAGGAGGTCCTCTCCAGGAGTTGGCTTGGTTCCGGCGCGAGTGGCGTCGTGTGGCGTCGTGTGGAGTTCTTTTTTCTCAACTGGATTCCTGACCATACAGGGTGGCCCCTGTTCAAGGGAAACCTGAGTTCCAGAAGAGGGCCAAGTTGATTTTTCAACAAATCTGCAGTTGTCCTGATTTGCTTCAATTTGTCGCAACATTGAAGCAACACTTGGACACTTGGAGGTGCTTTTAACAACTTCTCGCTTGGACCCCCTGTGGCGAGCTGCCCGAAATGCCCCACTTTGTTGGTGGGAGCGACAAAACCAGCTCCACCGGCGAGCCGCTTAATAGAGATTGGCCGACAGCTGTTCACGAAGAGCTGACCTGAAAGATTTGCTTTTTGTTTTGCATGTTTTTGGTGTGTTTAGGTCCACTCACCAACATGTGTCTTCTCAGTCCTGGTTGTCAGGGGTCGCCCAGAGACCACCATGGCGGGCAAGAGGCCACCGAGTCTAGACCCAAATACGTACCCAAATACGTGTCTTGGGGAGTCTTGGGGGTGAGTGCGAGGATGCTGATAATTATTTTGAAGAAGTAGAGAACTCATCAATCAGAGCGCAAGGTCTAGTATTTCTTTGGTACCTGTACCTGACCCTTAGATTCAGAGGGCCGCTTCTTGTTCCCCAAAAGTCGATGACCCTCCAGCGACCTCGAGGTGCAACAAGTTGGTGAGTTCGTGAGCCCCAGAGCAAGGTCTCAAAGTCTCAAAGTCATCCAAGCAGCAGGTTCCGGCCGGATGTAGGGATGGTTTCGGCCAAGCGAATACCAACATCTGGTCCGAACGACCACCCTTGGGGTGAAAAGCGACCATGCTGCCACGCCAAGAGATCACTCAGGTCGTCTCTAGGATCACCACCCTTTCGTCGGTGCCAAAGAGGGGGCTGTGAATGGATGGTCCGCCCAACAACCGGTCACCGCTCACAACCACCGGAGTGAGCAGAAGCCTGGCCCCCTATAGAAGCCTGGCCGGCCGCCTCCCACTAGCGGTTGGAGAGGGTCTCACACAACAAGAGGAGCAACCCAAGCTGCACAGTTCTTTGCTGGTCCATTGGTTGGCATGATCATAGCAACGCCAAGTTACTTGAGATGGATTCCTAAGTTAAGGTCAATCTCCGAACATTTCTGAGGAATTTCGGTTCAATTCGGAATCTCTACTCCAGTCGACTCATTTTTAGGCTCATATGGATGGGCAGGCCACTCTGCTACCCTGCCCCCTCACTCCTTGGTGCACCTGACCTCGGGCTTTTGAAACTGCCCGTGGGGCGGCGATTGGCCAAGCCCGCATACAGCGCCTGATGTGAAAAGGCGGCCTCGGACAGCTCGGCTCTCACTTGGACGCGGGACGTTCCATTCCAACCATGGAGATGCAGAGGTCACCGGAGGTGCATTTGGGTGAAGTTGAGCAGCTCGAGCATTGGATTCAGGATTAAGGATGGACACAGAGGATGTGGGGTAAGTTTAATGCCCTTGGCGTGCAAACAGGACACAATGATCCTCGAGCTAGCCCACGTGGCTGAGTCTATAGCACAAGTTTGGGACCCGGAGCCAAGGGGATGTGGACAACTTTGATCCCGTTTGCCTACTTTATAGGCCCGTGCTGCCAATCACTTGTCGACACGCATAGAGGTTCTGTACCACATGTACTGTATACACTGATAGTGTTTGTCTTCCCCGCCTGGAATCACGTGTTCACAGTGCTGTATTTCAAGGATTTTCATGGTGAGGCGAGTTGCCCAGCACCAGAGATCATAAAGGCAATCCTGCCTCCTGTCCTGTCGTAAAACCCTTCCGACTGACCTGAAACAGGTCGTTCTCCCAACCCAAAAACCGCTGGTCTCGACACTTAGGCCCTGCAGGGGAGCCCAACAAGGCGACTGCGGGGAGCTCAACAAGGCCGCCCATCGGATCATCGGATTCGGTGTTGGAGAACACACAGGACAAAAAAGTACCCACACGTTCGAAGACTCTGAGTGGAATATGTACAATCAATACATACAATCTAATGTTACTAATGTTATATTTATATTTTATACATTATAGATTGATATTTTTTGTCGTAGATGATATGTACAGTACTTAATGATGACGGTGATGCGGGGTGGCGCCCAGTGATGTGTCCAACCATTTTGGAGCCATGCCGAACCTGGGAACGACAAGCTGAAGATCTTCTGGACCTAAAAGATGTGTCACTCACTGAGGATACAGCTTTCTTTCCTTTTGCTTCCTCCCGCACCGGGCCAGCGCACTGACCAGGCAAGTCGATGTGTAAAAAGGTTTTCTATGCTTGAGGGCTGTGGGGTAGGTGCCAGGCGCGGATTGTTCCTCCTTCTGAGGAAGTGGTGATTGATGTGGGTGGGGCATGTTGGAGCCCTGGGGTATGCAGTCTTTGGGATGGCCGGACTACGGAGCCTCCGTGGGTGGTGTGCATCCACGGAGTCCGTCGATGGTCATTCATGGTGCAACCCTGGGAAGGGCATCCAGTTCATGAAAAAGCTACCAGCACCCTCCAAACAGGTCTCCTTTTGGGCCAGACTTGGTGACCTGTGAAGTCGGGTGCTGGTATGTTCTGGCCAACTGAACTCATATCACATGGCTCAACTCAACACTGACAATATGAACACTCATATCACTGGCCACTGTTTCATATGGATCAACTCATCTCATATGTTCCGGCCAACAATCTCCAGAGACACCAAGACTAGACACCACTGCCTACTGCCCGGGCCTTCCCTCGGCCCCCCGCAAAACGGCGCAGGCGTGCTTAGCGTCGACCGCCCCGGGGGTCGTCCGCTCGCGTGCGCTCGGCCGGGAGGCCGAGCATGGGTCCAGGTACCTGGACCCTCCAACCCGACAGGGGTGTCGCTGGCTGGACTACCCCACACTACCGGCCGGCCGTTCGGCTTCCAGACAGGGCACCCCGACAGGAGGATCCTGGTACCAAAATGTACCAAGTCACCTGGGTGTTGGCAGCATTTGAGTGCGTCAAGTCTTGGGGATCAATCCTTGGGTGTTGGTAGCAGCGGAGCTTTGGTCAGATGGATAAGCTATGGACTCCATGGCACCAAGCGCCAGGGGTGGATGGTGACCATGTGGGGGAATACAACCATCATCAACCATCCAGTACCAGCACCCTCAATAGAACACGTCACTAATGCCGACCCGTAACAGGGCTCTTCTCAACCATTCAAAGAAGGAGACCTCAGTCAAGTCGGTCGCTGGCGTACAAATTGAATCAACTAACTACATGGAACCATTGGAGGAAAATGGTCTTCCGGCCCATTCTCAGAGTCCGTGTGTGTTTGGGGCTTGGCGGTGTATGGGTTTGCTCACAGGTATGGGTTTGCGCCGGCGGCTGTTGCTGTCGGAGTGGTTTGGTTCGTCCCATCAGTGGATGGGGGGCATCCCATGGCACCCCTAGCAAGAGGCACTCTTTGGAACTCCTGCTAGATGATCCCACGTCAGGAGGAGGAGGAGGAAATTCAACTGTACTGTAGTGTAGCAGTGTAGCATGAAGTGCCACCGCTGTGTTTTTGGGCCAACCACCCAGTTACTGGTCCAAAGCCGACCGCAGCCTCAGGGTGGCGCTTGGTCTCGTTGGAGTCGGGGGGCCCTCAGGGGACCTCATGGGTCCATTGGCGAGGCGGGAAGGCATCCAAGAGGCTGATATTGGAGCTGTCCGTTTTTTTAGCACACCACCCAAGGTGTGGCTTACAGACCCCCCCCCAGCAGAGCGTCCACGCACATATGTTTTCCATCCAATACAGTAAGCATCCGTTGGGTGGCGCTGGTTGTGTTCCACTGCCCTGTGTCCAGGAGCAAGGTGAAGCCCGACTTCCTTCAAAGCCATTATGAGAGGTGTCGTTTTGAGGTCACCTTGCGGAAAAACCACACGCAGTTCATGATTGAAACATTTCCATCTGGCCCTCACCGAGCTTCGGCCCCCAGCCCCCACAAGGGTCCCAGTTCAGTTCTCTCAACCTCGGCAGTGCCATGTGGCACCCCCCTGAAACACCGAGATAGCCAGCCTCCGTGGGCGCAGCCGGGCACGAGGCGTGAAGGAGGTGGGCACGAGGTGGGCAAATTCACTGTGCCAGGGTCTCTTATTTTCTAGGGGAGGGCTTTGGAGGCTCCAGACATGGCATCAGGACCTTTCAAGGTCGGATGAACTGGGCCGCCCCTGTGCAGGCGGCGCAGCCAGTGCCACGAGCGCCACGCAAGTGGCACCTGCGCCGGAGGCGATGGGGGATGGAGAACCTGACCTGCAAAGATGCAAACATGTTTCGGGGGGATTTGTTTCCTCAAAAAACATCACACATCCAACAGGTGCAAGAGGGTGAACTAGGGTGAAGCTGGATTTTCGGAAACAGCTCGGGTGGGTTGCATATGGTTGCATGTCAAGGGCACAGATCGAATTGCTCCGATGGCAATCGAATCCTTTGACATCCTTTGACCATTGTAGGGTTGCATGGCGTTGTTTCATTTTCGATCTGAGTGAGGTCAAAGCGCTGTTTATTTCTTCACAGTGAATAAGTGAAGAGAGAGGGGGG